ACCTCTTCCCTGTTCTGGAAAACAGAGGATGCAAAATTGGTGCCTCTGGGGACTTCACTTGTGGCCCAGTAGTTAAGACTCCGAGCTTTAATGCAAGGGGTGCAGGTTTGATCCCTGGTCAGGAAACAAAGATCCCACATGCTGCGCTGTATGAGTTAAAAAAAAAAAACCCACAGCGACATGATAAAGTAGAAAAAGGAGGTGGTCTTGAGACAGATGACATGGCAAAGGAACATTCACCACTGTATAGACTGGTGACTCTAAGAAATCAGTAGACGTGTAAAACATGAAGGCTGCTTGGAAGGGCTCCAGGAGGATGTTAGTGGGCTAGGACAGCCAACTCATGTGCCGTAGAAAACTACATTCTTTACTGTGGCTCACAAGTTTTCCTTGTGCAGGGCTCCTAGCCATGGTGGCCCACATGATGTACACAACCATTTTTCAAATCACCGTGAACCTGGGACCGGAAGATTGGAAGCCTCAGATGTGGGACTATGGCTGGTCATACTGGTGAGTCGCTGGCCATGGTGGACCAGCAGGGATGCACACACTTTTTCTAGGAGCACCACTGCCCTTGGTCACAGCTCCACCACCTGCTACTCTTGGACTTTGGGTTAGTTTCTTAATCTTTCTGTAGCTCATATTCCTCATCTCTAAAATGATAATACCCATCTTAGATATTTTTATGAGAATGTAAGGAGGTTATGTTTATAAAATTCTTGGCACAGAATTGAAGCACTGAAGAAATAGAGATAGTGCTATTGTTACTTTCTTGAACATGGTTTAAGGAGAAAAGTCCTATTATAATTCCTAAAAAATATTTCAGTGAGGAGAGACCCAGTCCCCGATTCTAATGGAAAGGCAGGCCATGACACAGAACTTCTATCTCTACTAGAAAGACTTGATGCAGAATTGGATACAGAAAGGTGAAGTCACCAGCTCAAGGTTGCACAGTTAATGAGAGATGTGTGCAAACCCACAGGGCATGCGTGACTCCCGGGTCTGGTTCTCTCCACCATTCACACATTCCCGACAAAAACATGTTGACTGCTCTCTGAGATCTGTGATCCAAAGCATTAGTTGCTCAGTCATGTCCGACGCTTTGTGACCCCATGGACTGTAGCCCGTCAGGCTCCTCTGTCTATGGAATTCTCCAGGCCTGAATACTAGAGCGGGTAGCTGTTCCCTTCTCCAGGGGATCTTCCCAACCCAGTGATCGAACCCAGGTCTTCTCCATTACAGGCAGATTCTTTACTGTCTGAGCCACCAGGACACCCAAACCCAGGTCCAAATTGGGTAGAACCGGGAGTTGACATTCCATCCCAGCAGAAGCCCTGGAGTCAGCCCTGCACTCTTTCCTAACCGTGCCTTTTGTTGACAGCCTCGCCTGGGGTTCCTTTGCCCTGTGCATGGTTGCATCGGTCATGGCCACAAGCAGATACACAGCAGCCCGCCGGGAACTCGCAGAGAAAAAAAGTGGACAGAAGGGCAGTCGGCACTCTCCACAAGACTTCCAGAAACCCAAGGCTTCAGAAAGTGTTTGGGAAACAGAAGCTGCTCCCAGCCCTGCGGGGTGTGCCCTTATCAGTGTATCTAAGCACCTGCCACCAGAGGCTCCAGGCAAGGTGTCCATGTGCTAGCCAGGGTTCATGGCTGGCAGATCTGCACAGGCAGACAAACCAGACACTAGTCTACAAGGAGCATCTCTGGAGTGGGCTTCACAAGGCTGTGAAGTAAACCTTCCACCTGGCATCTTACCCTTCACTAAACACCTTTGCCTTCAACTTCTGGTTCCTGTTATAATGCCAGTATTTTTAAATGAGATAACTCCTACAGAAAATATCAACCATTGACACTCTAGTATAAGTGAGCATCCCAAGCTTTCCTGACAGTTGAATAAGGGTGACAGAAAAAGTAGGAGCATGTGAGTGCTAAGAGTAAGAGCTAAAGAAAGGGGGGGAAACAAGGCTTTGACTACAAACAATGTAGATTTGTTGCCCACACAGTTATGTTGACAGAAGAGTCCAGAATGTCTTTTTCCTTAATCGACACACACAAATTAATAGTACAGGTGACTACCCTATATTTTTTTTTCTGTTTTAATCAGGAAGAAACGAATTTAAAAATCAGTTTTGTGTTATTTTTAAAATACAGTTTCTTCTAAATTTTCTACTCTCCACCTATAGGAAAATCAGTTTGGAAGGATAATCAAATGATAAAACAAAATAAGAAGGGTTGAATGGAATGACATCTTGTCACAGCTAAGTGGAACAAATGTTTGAATTGTTGTGCTTAAATTAAAATTGCCAGGCACTTCTGCTTCTAAAAATAAACATGGTGAAACCTGCAAGTCTTGTTTGAAACAGTGGTACGCTGCATGTTTCCTAACTTGTTCAGTTACAATATTATATACCTCTCTTTTGCATTTCAAACTAACATGCTATTGAGGTTACCAGTTGTTAAACCCATAACTTGGGTTTTAAAGGGGAAAAAGAACTGCCATATCCTAATAACCCTAAATGCATCCTAGCTTAGATTCATTTTTTAAAATGTATTTATGTGTGTAGTGAATGTATCATTTCTGAAAAAAATGTCTGAATGTTTCAAATAAAATCACTCAATCTATTTATGCTGAACTGTACCATTTATACTATCAGAGAATAAGGGGCAGTTCAGCTACCTTCTTCATAGTTGTGGATGTGCCTAATGACTGATGGGCCTATGGAATTTTGCGCTATGTTGAACCAAGCATATTTGAAGTGGTATTAAATGGCTTTTTACTGGAATGAGTCCAACACGAGGAAGGCGTGCTGGGGTCCTCTGGAGCAGAAGAGTTCATACTCAATGGCCCCTGCCGTCCACAGTGTGCATGTTCTTTTATAGGATTTGTCACCCCTGTGCATTTGTGTAGGTAAATCCTGTGTCAGTGTCACAACATTGAGATAGAGTCTGATACTAGAGAAAAGGAAATCCAAAAGAAAAGTCCCCAAAGAGACACTCAGTTCTTTAAAAAAAAAAAACAAAAAAACTTATGCCTGAATATTCCAAGGGAGAAATGAATGTTCTGGAGTCATGGAGAGAAGCTGCATTCTCTGAGTTTCCAAGGCCCTCTCCTTCCTTTTATTTTTTTATTTTTGGCCACACCACGTAGCATGTGGGATCTAGTTCCCTGTCTAGGGACTGAACCCCTGCCACCTGCATTGGAAACACAGGTTCTTAACCACAGGAACCCCAGAGAAGTTCCCCTTTTATATTTTTTAAGTGTTGATTTTATTCAAGTACAGCATACCTACAAAAAATTACCCAAACCCTAAGTGTACAGCTTACGGATTTTCAGACAATGAACACGGCTCCTCAGATCAAGGCATCTCATCTCCATCTGTCTATCTTTGCTATAAAACAAATTCAGGTTGGATTTTAATTCCTCAATATATTGCAATAATCTGTTTGCAGGTCTATTCCCCTCTTATGAACTGTCAATTATTTCCTTATAGCACGAACTGTCCTCTGTACCTCCCAGCATTGAAAACAATCATTGGCAAAGAGAACTCTCCAACACACACACACACACACACACATATATATATGTATGTGTATATATATATATATGTATATACACACATATATACACATATAAACACATACACATGTATGTCTATACAAGTATATGCACACAGGTTGTCTGACTGAGCCCTGGCATCTCTCACATCTCAAGCCTGTCCAGTGTCCTGAGGAATGAGCCCTGATATGCATTAAGGAAAGGCAACCAGGAAACCAATGCAGACTAGGAAAAAATTGGCAGAGAGAAGGGAGAAACCGAAGCCAACAGGCACAGCAATGGACCAGACCCATTCTGGGAGTGGGACACAGTCACCTCCTACATTCTTTCTTTCTTTCACTATTTTTGGCTGTTCTGGGTTTTCACTGCTGTTTGCTGGCTTTCTCTAGTTGCAGCACACGGGCTTCTCACTGTGGTGGTCTCTCTTGTGACAGAGCATGGGCTCTAGGCACACAGGCATTAGTAACGGCAGCACTCGGGCTCAGGAGCTGTAGCACAAGGGCTCATTAGTTGTAGCTCACGGGCCCTAGAGCATGCAGGCTTAATCACTAAAGAGAACAGAGCGATCTTCTCAGAGTCTGTTACTAAGCTGCAACATCTCAGTCTCCCAACAGTCCTGCAAGATGAGACTACTGTGCCCACTTTACAGATGAAGAGACTGAGGCTACAAGAGCTGGAAGCACTCGAAAGAGGAACAGCCCCAAACTGCCCTTTCCCACAGTTCATGTCGCACCTTCAAGTGGTTTATCTGTTCTGTTTAACAGATTATCTGTGCTTTTTCACCTCCAACCAGAAAGTTCTCTTGCTGCCACCAGAGTCTGAGCTACCTGGAAGCTACCTGATAGGAGAATTAGGAAGTGAGGGTGGGGATGTTTGTGCTGAAATCCCAGGTCCTGATCCCTAAGGCCCATCCCTGAACTGCAGAGGACCTCTACTAGAGAGGAACCCAGGAGAGCTTTATTTATTTATTTATTTTCCAGGAGAGCTTTAAAAGGCTTGGCAGGAACTCTGAAATCAGACCCAGGCAGCATGTGCTCCTGAATATCAGCAGAGACACTATATTTACCCCGAAAGCCCTTTAGTGCACTGACAGCTATAAATAGCCATTAGGGCCCAAGCAAGTGGCCTTAACGCATGGCTTTCCTTCCAAAAATGCAGACACATTTTAATTAAATTCATAATTAACCTCTGGGAGGGTAGGTCCCTGGATTCCATCCGCTTCTGAAGACAGTGAGTAATTCCCTCTTCATGATCATTTGGGGATTAGCACGCGGCCAGGAGCTCTGGAAGCAGCACTCGGGGTCTGCACAGAGTCTGGCTCCTGGAGAAGAGGCTCTGGGCTCAGGGCGTGAGTGTACCCTGCAGCCTCGGGCCTCCTCTGCCCTGGGTCCCGAGTCCCTTTGTCAAGCGAGTTCCTTTTCCCCATTTTCCCCAGAACAAGATGGGGGTCACCGCAGTGCTCATGCTGCCCCTGCTGCTCTTAGGAATCAGCGGTCTCCTCTTCATCTACCAGGAGGTGTCCCGGCTGTGGTCCAAGTCAGTCGTGCAGAACAAGGTGGTGGTCATCACCGACGCCATCTCAGGACTGGGCAAGGGTAAGCGTGCTTCGGGCTTCCCTGACAGCTCAGTGGTAAAGAATCTGCCTGCCAACGCAGGAGACTCGGGTTCGATCCCTGGGTCGGGAAGATCCCCTGCAGAAGGGAATGGCAACCTACTCCAGTATCCTTGCCTGGGAAGTCCCATGGACAGAGGAACCTGGTGGGCTACAGTCTATGGGCTACAGAGTCGGACATGACTGAGCATGCACAAATGAGTTTCACAGCCTCTTGTGCCCACTTCTGCCCTGAAGGATGAGAGGCCATAGGGTGGGGTGTGGGTGAGCCCTCTGGGCAGGAGGGTGTGCGTCAAGGCTGAGTTCTCTCCCAGCATCTGTCATTAATCAGCCAGTGTCTTCTTTCTTGAAGGCTAAAGCTTGCTTGCCTGAGAAATGAGGGGATTGGAATACTTAGGGTTGCAAATGCACAGCTTACAGGCCAAAACCAGTCTGCAGAAGTGATTTGCTTTGCCTGCAGGGAGTTTCTAGAAATTTTGAAGCTCAAAGCCATCAGCTGGGGCAGTGAACTGGTGATGAGGCCAGACCTGTGAGCTGGGTTCAATTCTTGGCTCCACCAATTACTAACTGGTGATGCACTGCTCCGCCTTGGATTTCTCATCTGAAAGCAAGGATGCTAATACTCTCATAATGTGGTTGTGATGACTAAATGAATCAAGAAATGGAAAGCCCTTAAGACAGTGCCTGGCGCTGTCGTGGGCACCTCTCAAATGTTAGCAGTGGCGATAATAATGAATAAATCATACAGAGCATGCCAACACCAGCGTGCCACACACCCCATTATCCCTGCTATCTTACATTGGCCTGACTCAACCACATCACTTCCCGGTCTTGAAGGCATTTAGAAGTAACTTGAGAAGCTGGGAGTGGGGGTGTGACCTTCAGTAAACTCTTATGGTCGCTTTAACATGCTGCTGACCACAGCGATTCTGGGTTCAAAGTGCTCCATTTCTCAGGTCCCAGGCCAAAAAAAAAAAAATAGTGAGGGGCATTGAGCGGACGAGGTAAGTGACACATAACCCACAGCACACACCCGGTCCCACAGAACCTGACCGAACCCCGTGGGTAACACTGGAGAGCAGGAAGGGGGCCAGAGCCAAGCTGTCTCCTAGGGAAACCAGGCAGACAGAGATGTCAGGACTTCTAACCTTTGCCCCAAACCCACACAATTCAGCCAAGTCAGGAATAAAGTCATCTTGTACCCACTGTGTCTGCAGCAAGAATGATCTTCAAAATACTTAACCACTGCACTTTTTTTTTCCATTTATTTTTATTAGTTGGAGGCTAATTACTTTACAACATTGCAGTAACCACTGCACTTAAACTGCTTCAGAGAACACAAACCTTGCCTGTGTTTCATCACCTCTAAGACACACCATTTTCTTCCTTTAACCATTCCTGACATTGAGCTGGTGGTGGTTGTTTAGTCGCTAAATGGTGTCCGACTTGTGACCCCGTGGACTGTAGCTCGCCAGGCTCTTCTGTCCATGGGATTCTCCCAGCAAGAATATTGGAGTGGGTTGCCAGAAATTGAGCTAACTGTCTCTTAATCAACGGTTTCTTACGATGGCCCTGGGCCATCTTTGTGCATTTTAATATCGCTGAAATAAAAAAGTCTCTTTCAGGCTAATGGCCTCTGGTCTGTGAAACACGACCTCCAGGGCTGCCCACACTCAGCGCAGCTGCCACCGCCACTGAGAATTACAGCCCAAACTCGGGGAGACTAGCCATTCTCCCTCCAAATGGTTTCCTTTAGTGAATTCTCTTATGATAAAAGCCACATATGTTTAAAAGATCTTTCAAGAAAAAAGAACCAAGGGACTTCCCTGGTGGTCCAGTGGCTAAAACCCTGTAGGTTCTGTTTCTAGGGAACCCAACATAACAAACCACTGCGTGGGATGACTGTGAGAATAAAATAAGCTAATATGTGTAAACCTCTTTCAATAGCCACTCAAGCAAGTAAACTGTCAAAGTCTGTTAGCTTTTATTGTTTTATTGGCTGTGCTGGGTCTTCCTTGCTGCGCTGGGCTTGCTCTAGCTGCAGCAAACAGGGGCTACTTTTTTTGTGCATGGGCTTCTCATTGCAGTGCTTCTCCTGTTGCAGAGCACAGGCTCTAGGGCATGCAGGCTTCAGTAGCTGTAGCACGTGAGCTCAGTAATTGTGGCACATGGGCTTTAGTTGTTCCACTGACTGTGGGACATTCCTGGACCACGGATCAAACCTGTGTCCCCTGCAATGGCAGGTGGAATCTTATCCATTGCTCCACCAGGGAAGTCCAGCTTTTATTATCAACGTGATTGCCACATAAAAATCTACCAATTGGTAGATTGCATCTACCAATCACTGCCCAGTTGAGAACTTTGAGCAAGCAAGAAATTCATCTAGAATAAAATTAACTAGACAGAAGACAGCTTTACTTTTTAAAAAAATAAAAAATAAAAAGAACCCTAGCTGGGGCATCAACCCACAACGGAAATGTAGAGGAAACTAGTGACATTTGATCTGGGGAAAAAAAAAAAATAGCAACTGTCTCTGATATCCTCAGACTGAGATATACTGAGGGTCTTATTGGACAGAGTCATCCTTCTGTCCAGTTTAAGAAAGAATATATCAGGATTTCCCTGGGGTTCAGTGGTTAAGACTCCACTCTCCCAATGCAGGGGGCACAGGTTCAATCCCTGGTGAGGAAACTAAGATCCCGTATGCCACACAGCATGATCAAAAAGAAAGAGTGTCCCAGAAATCAGAACTGCCCAAAGAAAGAGGGCTATTTCACGCCCCCGTGAGGTGCCCTTCACAGAAGGCAGCCATGCTGAATCTGGAAACAAGAAGAAATTTCAGAAAGTTGCATGCAATGTCCTCTAAAGGAACCCATAGCTCTAAGACTTCTGAATTCCTTGAATCCTCGAATTTGTAACCACTGCCCCCGCCTCAAGCAGTTTCACCCACACAGTGCGTCCTGTCCTCCTTCCCTCTTGCCCAGAGTGTGCTCGGGTGTTCCATACCGGCGGGGCCAGGCTGGTGTTGTGCGGAAAGAACTGGGAGAGGCTTCAGAGTCTATACGATGCCCTGATCAGTGTGGCGGATCCCAGCAAGGTAAGGCCTTCAGGCAGCCAGCATGGGCAACCCCTGGGCACCCTTAAGTCTTCGTGCTTGTCACAGAGCAGCTCTGGGTGAAATTTGGTGATAGCTTTGGGGAAATGTAATCTTGACACAGTTGACTTGGGGGTTGATTCATTTTGACCCCTCGCCATGCCAAAAATTTCTTCTCTAGCCTCTGAGCCCCACCCCATTCTATTTAAGTCAGACTCAGAGGACCCAGAAGATACAGTATGTCACAGATATCACTCTGTTTATAAATTCTCATGGCTGACTTTTTAAATAATACTTCAAATAATATCTCCTTCAAAGAGGGACTTTCCTGGTGGTCCAGTGGTTAGGACTCAGTGCGGTCACTGCTGGGGCCATGTTCAATCTCTGGCCGGAAAACTAAGTTTCCTCAAGCCACGATGTGCAGCCCCAAGTTTTTTATTTCCTTGAAACAAATCAGGAAAATGATGCCTCTGTCCATGAAGTTATATAGCAGGCAACCACATTTCAATGAAGCTGAGGTTTTCAAGGAATTTCTGGATCATTGTTTAAGAAATTGCTTTCAGAGTTCTCTTTAGGATTTTTTTTTTTTTTTGCCTCTCTGCATGGCATGTGGAACTACCCAACCAAGGATCAAATCCATGCCACCTGCATTGGAAACAGAGTCTTAACCACTGGACCACCAGGGAAGTGTCAAGAACTGTTTTTTTTAAATAATCTTTGCCCTTGATGTTGAATTTGATTTTGGATAAAGCCAAAAATAATTCAGAACTAAGTCTGGTATTTGAGGAGATAGAGCAACAGGATAACACCACAACCCCAAAGCATGTTTCTTGGGATTTTATCAGGTATTGGTCGTGAGGTAGTAAAAAGGAGGGTCTGAGGTCAACTGTGTGGGAAATACTGAGTTAGAGAAAGCTTCTCTGACTGATTTCTTTACTGCAGGACTTTTCAGAACCTTTGTTATGTAAATATTCACTGTGTTATCTCCAGGAAGAATGTAAAGCAGTCTATATTTCCCAAATATATTGAACCAGAGAACATGCTTTTTTTAAGGGCATATCTCAGGACTCATATTTGTGAAATACTGGGATTGTATCTGTCACGTGGCATCATCAATTTTTCCACCTGTACTCCTTCTAAATCATGAAAATCTTGATGACAGCATGTTTAGGGCTGAACACAATGCCTTGTACCTATACAGATGGTGTTTCAAAAAATTATATCGAGTATATGATTTTGGCCAAAAACAAATGTGGCTACAAAGTACTGGGCAGATTCTCCTGTGGCTTGGAAGTCAGTCTGAAAGCCATTTCCAAAGAGGAGCTCAGAAATGTTATTTTAAAAATGACATCAGAGAATCTATGCACAGTCTCCATTTGGATTTCTCAGTTCTGGCCCCTTGACCAGAAGACCAAACTTTGCAGTGCATGTTTGCGTGTTGGGAATGTTATTGTTGCCTTGGTCCCCAAGGATGCATTTTCTCCATCAGTTTCCTTTCTCCCAGTTATCTCTGCTTCATTTCATCATCTGTTTGTAGTCATTCCACAAGCTCTGAGTTTCAAAAGGGGCAACTCTTAGATGGAAGGGCCACAAGGTCTATGGGGATGTTCCCACATGTGCCTTGACTTTCTCATTGGTCCAGCAGACATTCACCCCAAAGCTGGTCCTCTTGGATCTCTCAGACATCAGCTGTGTCCAGGATGTGGCCAAAGAGGTCCTGGATTGCTACGGCTGCGTGGACATCCTCATCAACAATGCCAGCGTGAAGGTGAAGGGACCTGCCCATAAGATTTCTCTGGAGCTCGACAAAAAGATTATGGATGCCAATTACTTTGGACCTATCATACTGACCAAAGGTCTCGTGAGTTTGACCATCCCATGAAATTCTGGGTCACTGGGCTGCTCAAGAGGTCTCTGATATGTCTCCAGATAGTCATCCACTTCTGGATGGAGCCTCTAGTCCTCTTCAGAAAAATCCCTGCCTGTTTGGTGAAAGCTTTTGGCTTTCGACTATAAACATTGATGAAGGAAAAGGGATTGTAAAAGTCTCCTAATGGTATATTCCTACCTGCCTCTCTGTATAGTCCCCTTCCCAAACCCTGCCCTTGACTCCTCTTTTTTACTCACATCCATGGCTCCCCTCCCATCCCATTCCACATCTCTGGACCACTGTCTTCATCCCCTGCAAACCTTCTACTATATCCGCCTTGTGGTTTATCTGCTCCTAATAATGACAGTTGGTCCAGTGTTGAAATTCTGTCCTCAGTCATAAAGAGTTTACCCCAAACTACAAAAGACCCAGAATACTGTCAGTCTCTTTTCAGAAATAGGAAAGTGTTAGTCACTCAGTCGTGGCCGACTCATTGTGACCTCATGGACTGTAGCCCACCAGGCTCCTCTGTCCATGGGATTTTTCAGGCAAGAGTACTGGAGTGGGTAGCCATTTCCTTCTCCAGGGGATCTTCCCAACCCAGGGATCGAATCTGCATCTCCTGCATTCCAGGCAGATTCTTTACCATCTGAGCCACCAGGGTAAAATGATGGTCCCTTTGTGGAGATTCTAACAACCAAGTTCAAATGCAGGTCTGAAGCTAGGGTGGGGGGTGCGGAGTAGCTAGATAGGACATGGAATAGAACCCAAGAGTTAAAGCCCTCCACCCACCCTAAATAAAGTTTATCAAAGCAGAATCACAAAAGGAAGAACATAAGGATGTATAAGAATATACATTTAGGGAGCAGGGTGCACTGGCAGGGCTGAAAGAGCAGGATCTTTGAGCTTCCTTCTGTACAGCCAGAATCTCTACAAAAATGGGATTCTGAGAACTGTGACAGATGAAGGCAAAGCAGCATTGGGAGCAGAAAGATGACTCCCAGAGCTTCCAGAGATGAGAGTGCCCCAGAGACCACAGTTTCCTCCAGCCCAGTCACTGTGCCCAGCAGGTCAGCCAAGGTGTGTCCTCTCCTCAACCTCTGAGAGCTCCAGTTCCCTGGCAACAAAGTGAGGCATGCTAAGTTGAATCTTGATTTTTTGCCATCTCTTTATTCCACCTGTGCTATCATTGCTCCATAGCTTTTTCTAAATTTCCTCATTTGTCAATTAATTCTACTTAAGAGGAACTTTTTTTAAAAACCATAAATTAAAAACTCCTTTCCTCTCCATAAGTGGAAGAAAACATGAAATCAAAACAAAGTCTTAAGTTTTCCCAAGACACTGAGCTGAGGTCTTTCCTCTTTTTTTTTTTTTAAGATTAGCACATGCAAGAGAGGTTTTAAAGACCCGCCTGAACCAACTTTCCTACTGGAGGAATAGTGAAATTGGAAAGGGAGCTACCTTTCTCACTACTGAAATCAGTGTAACTTCAAGGATATGGATAGGTCATTGAAAATCACCCAGGGTTGGGGACTTCCCTGAAGGTCCAGTGGTTAAGACTTCACCTTCCAATGCAAGAGGTGTGGGTTGGATTCCTGGTAGGGGAGCTAAGGCCTCACATGCCTAGTGGCCAAAAAACCAAAACATAAAACAGAAGCAATACTGTAACAAATTCAATAAAGATTTAAAAAACTGGTTCCCATTTTTTAAAAAAAAGCTTTAAAAAATATAATAAAATCACCCAGGGTTAGGTCTAGTGGTTAGCACTTCAAACTTCAACTGCAGGGGGCCTGGGAATTAAGATCCTGCATGACACAAAAATAATAATAAAATAAAATAACCCAGCAATTCACTGGTCGAGGCCAGCCCACTCTTAGGCAACACTGGATAAATGGTGGCTGGGGTCCATCCCACCTGTGTCCCACTGCCATCCAGTTAGCAGGGAGGCAGAGGAGCCTGTGTGATGAGGGGCCTGGGGAAGGGGTCTGCCGGTTGCTGCCTGACTCCACCTCGGGTTTGTAACCATGAGTCTTCGTCCTATGCTTTCCAGCCCTGCTCCCCAACATGATCTCCCGGAGGACTGGACAAATCGTGTTAGTGAACAACATCCAGGGGAAGCTTGGAATCCCCTTCCGTACAGCCTGTAAGTTGCTAAGACAAGTTTCATCTTAGGTTATATGTCTTATAAGACAAGATATGTGGTGTCTAGAACAAAGCATATGGTTACTGGGGGGAGAGGGTCCGGAGATGAAAGCATCCTTTGGCTTTTCTTTCATCCCTTCAGCTCCTATTTTTGAGCACCTGCAGCACACAGGTGACTATGAGAGATAAAGTTAAGTCCTTCCCTCTCACCCCAGAAGCTCCTCTTGTTCTATGCTCACAGCAGTTATATCTGTTATTTATACACCTCACCATATCCTCATTCTACAAGCCAGTCATCTGACTCCGGCACCTGTATTCTTAACCCTGATGGCCTCAGGACCCTGAGAAAACAGTCTTACGTGGGGAATCAGGCTTCCCAGGAAGGAAGAGGGAATTCATACCCGTGTCAGGCATTTTACATACATTTACTCACTTGGCAAGAATACTATCCTTAATTGATTAATTAATTACCTCTATTTTATTATTTATTTTTACCTGACATGGTTTAATATTAATCTTTTTTTAAAAAGTTGTTTAATACTGGAGTGTGATTGACTTCTGGGCTTCTCAGGTGGCACTACTGGTAAAGAACCAGTAACCTGCCAATGCAGGAGACGTAAGAGACACGGGTTTGATCCAGGGTTGGGAAGATCCCATGGATGAGGGCATAGCAACCCACTCAAGTATTCTTGCCTAGAGAATCCCCATGGACAGAGGAGCCTGGTGGGCTACAGTCCATAGGGATGCGAAGAGTCAGACACGACGAAAGTGACTTAGCACACACGGTGATTTACAACACTGTGCTAGTCTCACGTGTACAGCAAAGTGACTCAATTATACATACACAGACATTCATTCTTTTTCAGATTCTCTGCCTGTAGTGGTTACTACAGAATATTGAGTAAAGTTCCCTGTGCCATACAATAGGTCCTTACTCATTATCTCTTTTATATATAGTAGTGTGTCTATGTCAATCCCAAACTCCTAACTTATCCCTTCCCTCCCTCCTTTCCCCTTTGGTAATCATAAACGTTTTTGAAGTCTGTGAGCCTGTTTCTGTTTTGTAAATAAGTTGATTTGTATCATTTTTTTTAGATTCCACATATAAGTGGGATCATATGATATTTGGGAACACCAGACAACCTGACCTGCCTCTTGAGAAAAATGTATGCAGGTCAGGAAGCAACAGTTAGAACTGGACATGGAACAACAGACTGGTTCCAAATAGAAAAAGGAGTATGTCAAGGCTATATAGTGTCACCCTGCTTACTTAACTTATATGCAGAGTACATCATGAGAAACGCTGGGCTGGTGGAAGCACAAGCTGGAATCAAGATTGCCAGGAGAAATATCAGTAACCTCAGATATGCAGATGACAACACCCTTCTGGCAGAAAGCGAAGAAGAACTAATGAGCCTCTTGATGAAAGTGAAAGAGGAGAGTGAAAAAGTCGGCCTAAAGCTCAACATTCAGAAAACCAAGATCATGGCATCTGGTCCCATCACTTCATGGCAAATAGATGGCGAAACAGTGGAAACAGTGGCTGACTTTATTTTGGGGGGCTCCAAAATCACTGCAGATGGTGATGGCAGCCATGAAATTAAAAGATGCTTACTCCTTGGAAAGAAAGTTATGACCAACCTAGAGAGCATATTAAAAAGCAGAAACATTACTTTGCCAACAAAGGTCCATCTAGTCAAGGCTATGGTTTTTCCAGTAGTCATGTATGGATGTGAGAGTTGGACTAGAAAGAAAGCTGAGCACTGAAGAATTGATGCTTTTGAACTGTGGTGTTGGAGAAGACTCTTGAGAGTCCCTTGGACTGCAAGGAGATCCAACCAGTCCATCCTAAAGAATATCAGTCCTGAATATTCATTGGAAGGACTGATGCTGAAGCTGAAACTCCAATATTTTGGCCACCTGATGCGAAGAACCAACTCATATGAAAAGACCCTGATGCTGGAAAAGATTGAAGGGGGAACAAGAAGGGGACAACAGAGGATGAGATGGTTGGATGGCACCACCAACTCAATGGACATCAGTTTGAGTAAACTCTAGGTGTTGGTGATAGGAAGGCCTGGCGTTCTGCAGTCCATGGGGTCACAAAGAGTCGGACAGACCGAGCAACTGAACTGAACTGAATTGTCTGAACTGAACTGATTTGTCTCTGACTTATTTCACTTAGTATGATAATCTCTAGATCCATCCATGTTGCTGCCAATGGCATGATTTTATTCTTTTCTTGGCTGAGTAAGATTCCAGTGTGGGGCATCCCAGGTGGTTCAGCAGTCAAGAATCTGCCTGCCAAATGCAGGAGACGTGAGTTTGATTCTTGGAAATGTGCCCTAGAGAAGGAAATGGCAACCGGCTCAAGTATTCTTGCCTGGTAAACCCCATGGATAGAAGGACCTGGCAGGCTACAGCTCACAGGGTCGCAAAGAGTTGGACAAGACTGAGTTACTGAGTATGCACACACAATATTCCAGTGTATATATGTACCACATTCTCTCTATCCATTCATCTATTGGTTGGAATTTTGGTTGCTTCCATACCTTGCCTACTGTAAACTGTGCTGCAACTGGACATTTTAAAGACAAGAAAACTGAATCTCTGAAGGTAAAAAACTGGTCACTTGCCCAAAGTCACACAGTGGAATAGTAGCTAAACTGAACTGGGTCCCATCTCTGCATCTGTCCACTGCTCCACAAGGGCTCTCTGTCCGCATCTACGAAGCGAGGGGCAAGGCTGGGGATTTTGCGGCCTCACCCAGCAGAGCCTGTAGGGATGTGTGTCCCCAGCCCCGTCCTGGGAGGCACAGCGGGACCCGCGCCCACCCTCGGGCTGGTTTCTCTTGCAGACGCTGCCTCCAAGCACGCGGCACTCGGCTTCTTCGACTGCCTGCGGGCGGAAGTGGAGGAATACGACGTGGTCGTCAGCACCGTGAGTCCCACCTTCATCCGCTCCTACCACGTTGATCCAGGCCAAGGAAACTGGGAGGCCTCCATCTGGAAATGTGAGCCTTCAGAGCGCAGCTGGAGGAAACGGGGCTGGGGAGGGGCTTGTGGAGGAGTGGGGTACGCCCAGGGTGGCGGGGGGTGGGGTTGGGGTACCGTGGGGGCGGGGTGTTCCTGAAGCCTGAGACTGAGGAGATGGTGTCTGCACCCAGATGACAGCGGGGAGGGGCCCCCAAACTTCAGTCCCAAGGCGCCAGGTAAAGGGAACCCTAAGCCACAGCCAGCAGACCAAGGCCGGGCTGGGCTCCATCACTCACAGGCTGTGTGACCTTGGTCCGAGATTGCCCGCCTCTGGGCCTCAGTTTCCCATGTGGAACAGCCAGGATTTGGTTTTGGAGAACCTTCTGCTCCCCTCCCTAGGTGGCAGCACAGAGGGAAGCTCAGAGTCTGGGCCCGAGGGCCTGGTCTAAAAGTCCCCTCTGTCTCATATTAAGTATTGGACAGCAGCTGCTCCCTCCACCTGTTTCCCCTTTGTAAAAGGAGAGATGACGGTGAATACCGACCTGGTAGAGTCCTAGAAAGGAAAGTTCCAGCTCAGAGTTTGGAACAGCAACCAGCACATCCTGAGCGCTCTGTAAGTGCACCTGTGATCTCTATTCTAGAATGCTCTACACGGAGCAGCTATACCTCACAAGGCTCAGTGGTAAAGAAGCCACCTGCCAATGCAGGAGACGTGGGTTCAGTTTCTGGGTGGGGAAGATCCCCTGGAGAAGGCAATGGCAACCCACTCCTGGGAAATCCCATGGCTATAGGAGCCTGTCAAGCAAGCACTCATGAGGTCGCAAAAGAGTCGGATGCCACTTAGTGACTGAACAACAACAAAGACGTGGGCAACCGGTTTCAGGAGGCACTGGATGAGGACAGCCTGGCAACAATCATGAACAGCAGCCCCGTCATACATGACACCTTCGTACCTCCTAAGCTCTTTCTCATCCCTTCCACCACTCATAACCACCCTGGGTTGTTAAAGGGCCGGAAACTGCACCCAATTTACAGATGCGGAAGCTAAGGCACGATGTGTAAAGTGCCTGCTCATGGCGCATGGCCAGCGGCCAGCAGATGCAGTGTTGACGCTGAGGCTGGGACTCCAGCACCGCACACCCCTCCCCACCTTGGGGGGCGGGCTCTGACCACCTCCCGCCTCCCAAGGCTATGAGCCCCGCCCCTTCCTGGGGGGCTTTTCAGTCTTTTTCAGGAAGCTGACCTACGGGGCGCACCCTGTGGACGTGGCGGAGGAGGTGATGCGCACGGTGAGACGCAAGAAGCAAGAGGTCTTCCTGGCCAACCCCATCCCCAAGGCCGCCGTATACATCCGCACCTTGTTCCCCGAGCTGTTTTTCGCCGTGGTGGCCTATGGGGTGAAGGAGAAACTCAGCGTCCCGGAGGAGGGTTAACTGCCGGGCTTCAAACGGGTCTCCTCGAGGGGAATAAAGATTTTGCTGGTAGGTGGTGGGTCCTTCCATCTTCTCAACACGGGGGTGGGGGTGGAGAGGGAACAGTTCCCCCAGCGGCATTCCACGTGGGAGATATTCACCATCACAGTAAGGGTGGCCCGGAGACCAGTCCAGTCGCTCCAGGCCTCTGGGTGTTTCCCATTAGACATTCCCGGGACAGATTTCCCGAGAAGCGTCTCGACTCTATAAGGTGACAATCCAGCAGAAAAACAGGACCCGTAATGGGCTCAGCACATACACATACATACACACACACACACACGCCATCAGCCTGCCCAGGCACTCAGAAAATCACCTCCATTTTACTAAGGGTGACCTATCCAGTCAGCCCCTAACCGCAGAAGCTGGACTTGCCAGCTCCTTAGGGAAGCGCTGCTAAATAGAACTTTTTAAATAGATGGAAATATTGTATCATCTGCCGTGTCCATTGTGGCAACCACCAGCCACGTGTAGCTGTTAGGTACTTAAAATGTGGCCTGTGCAACTGAGAAACAGAGTTTTTAATTTTATTTAATTTGCATTAATTTAACTGTAAATAGCCGCCTGGGGCTCGCGGCTCCCAGGTTGGCAATACAGCAGAGCTGTAATCCTTGGTCTTGGCAGCAGAATCAGCCCTTTTCCCTGGATTTCATTTGTCCCAAGAGGAGCCCAGGCATAGGTGTTTAAATTTTTTTTCCAGTGGATTCTAAATTGCAACAAATCTTGAGAACTTCTGCCTTGGGGCATCCAGCTCATTCCAGCCTTTTCTTACAGTCTCAAAGCAAAATTCATTTAAAACTGCCATCGTTATTATTGATGGGTGTTTCTGTTAGTTTAGTTTTTCTTAAACACAACAGTTAATGATTCTTCAGATCTTGGGAAGTGTAGGATATATTTTTTGCACTAATTTTGTAACTACTGCTTCAAACTTTTTCTAATATTTATAGTTGAAAGAGGGCCCAAATTTCTTCCCTGAACCCAAGCCATTTACAAAATTAACACGCGTGGTACACATCCACAGTACATAGCCTGAATTTATAAGGAGAATGTCAGGCACTTACTTCCCTGGTGGTCCACCTTCCAAGGCAGGCGACGCAGGTTTGATCCCTGGTTGGGCAACTAAGATCCCTGCAGGGCAACTAAACCCGAGAGCAGCAAACGAAGACCTGGAGCAGCCAAAAAAAAAAAAAAAAAGCACAGTGTCCAGACCATGTGATCACCAAGGAACCCAGGCAGCCCCAGGATAAGGTTGCAGGCCAGGATGTGTCTCCAGGATTTAGGACTCTTAAGTCAGGGCAGGCCTAGAATCAGCAAGATGACCTTCTGTGTTATTATTGTTGCTGGGTGTCAGGGTGCTAGGAGTTGCCTAGGCCAGAATGATGGAGGGTCAGTAGGGGCCGGGAGGCAGGGGAGGGACAGCACCATTAACAAAATGACTGATGTGATTGGTGACCAGAGACAGAGAAGGCAGCTTCAGGACAAGAAGGGCTGGAGCCAGCCCTGCAGGCAGCCATGGTGTTGCACCAGGACTGGGCTCCAGGTCAAGCTTGGCCACCACCCAGCCCCGGACCTGGGGTCCTGGCCTGCTCTCTTTAGGGCTCTGCCTCCTCTCAGGGTGGAGTGCAGCTAAGGGGCCCCTCCTTTGGTGGTGGGGGGTGGGGTGGATGGGTGGGGAGGGGCTGCATCTGGGAAGCGTCCACGCTGGCCCTGATCAACATTCTGGGCGAGCAAAGACTCTAGGACTCCAAGGTAAGGGACGACCTCGGTCCCTGGGGTTCCTCAAAGGAAGCCACGTTGAATGACAGCTCAGGAAGAAAGACATCCGTGTCAGTGGGTCTGCTCCACTGTCCCTGCAGCCAAAGTGGTCAGACACCTACGGGTGGACGCATCTTCAGCCGGACTGCCTGGCCGGCACCCCAAGCTCCCTGAAGTTGAATTTCCTGTCCAGGGACTTTGGTCTCCCTCTGACTGGATGCCCCCACCCCATTACCTTCCGGATGTCCCTGTGTCCACGCAGGCCCTGCTGCCTTCTCAGGATGGGATATCTCACCAGTCTAGCAAATGAAAACCCACAACCCTTAGGTTGAAACACAGGAGAAAAAAATGTTCTTAAGTTGTTAAGGGGAAACCATCATGCAATAAGAGGAATGGCCACCAGGTGTCACTGTGGCTCCAAACCTATTTTATAGCTGCTTTCTCTGTACAGATCAGTTTAGACGCTCATTAGTGTGCGACCCCATGGACTGCAGCACGCCCGGCCTCCCTGTCCATTACGAACTCCTGGAGATTACTCAAACTCATATCCGTTGAGTCGGTGATGCCATACAGCCATCTCATCCTCTGTCGTCCCCTTCTCCTCCCCCCTTCAGTCTTTTCCAGCATCAGGGTCTTTTCGAATGAGCCTGTTCTTCACATTAAGTGGCTAAAGCATTGGAGTTTCAGCTTTAGCATCACTCCTTCCAATAAACACCCAGGACTGATCTGCTTTAGGATGGACTGGTTAGATCTTGCAGTCCAAGGGACTCTCAAGAGTCTTCTCCAACACCACAGTTCAAAAGCATCAATTCTTCAGCGCTCACCTTTCTTCATAGTCCAACTCTCACATCTGTACATGACTACTGGAAAAACCATAGCCTTGACTAGACGGACCTTTGTGGCAAAGTAATGTCTCTGCTTTTTAATATGCTGTCTAGGTTAGTCATAACTTTTCTTCCAAGGAGTAAGCGTTTTTTAATTTCATGGCTGCAGTGATTTTGGAGCCCCCCAAAATAAAATTTGTCACTGTTTCCACTGTTTCCCCATCTATTTGCCATGAAGTGATGGGACCAGGTGCCATGATCTTAGTTTTCTGAATGTTGAGCTTTAAGCCAACTTTTTCACTCTCCTCTTTCACTTTCATCAAGAGGCTCTTTGGTTCCTCTTCACTTTCTGCCATAAGGGTGGTGTCATCTGCATATCTGAGGTTATTGATATTTCTCCCGGCAATCTGGATTCCAGTTTGTGCTTCATCTAGCCCAGCGTTTCTCATGATGTACTTTGCATAAAAGTTAAATAAGCAGGGTGACACTATACAGCCTTGACGTATTTTCCCTATTATCTCTAATTTTCTTGAAGAGATCTCTAGTCTTTTGTTCCATGTCCAGTTCTAACTGTTGCTTCCTGACCTGCATACAGATTTCTCAAGAGACAGGTCTGATATTCCCATCTCTTTCAGAATTTTCCAAAAGTTTGTGGTGATCCACACAGTCAAAGGCTTTGGCATAGTCAATAAAGCAGAAATAGATGTTTTTCTGGAACTCTCTTGCTTTTTCGATGATTCAACGGATGTTGGCAATTTGATCTCTGGTTCCTCTGCTTTTTCTAAATCCAGCATGAACATCTAGAAGCTCACAGTTCACATACTGTTGAAGTCTGGCTTGGAGAATTTTGAGCATTACTTTACTAGCATGTGAGATGAGTGCAATTGTGCGGTAGTTTGAGCATTTTTGGCATTGCCTTTCTTTGGGACTGGAATGAAAACTGACCTTTTCCAGTCCTGTGGCCACTGCTGAGTTTTCCAAATTTGCTGGCATATTGAGTGCAGCACTTTCACAGCATCATCTTTTAGGATTTGAAATAGCTCAACTGGAATTCCATCACCTCCACTAGCTTTGTTCATAGTGATGCTTTTCCTAATGCCCACTTGACTTCGCATTCCAGGATGTCTGACTCTAGGTGAGTGATCACAGCATCGCGATTACCTGGGTCATGAAGATCATTTTTTTATAGTTCTTCTGTGTATTCTTGCCACCTCTTCTTAATGTCTTCTGCTTCTGTTAGGTCCATACCATTTCTGTCCTTTATTGTGCCCATCTTTGCATGAAATGTTCCCTTGGTATCTCTAATTTTCTTGAAGAGATCTCTAGTCTTTCCCATTCTATTGTTTTCCTCTATTTCTTGGCACTGATCACTGAGGAAGGCTTTCTTATCTCTCCTTGCTATCCTTTGGAACTCTGCATTCAAATGGATGTATCTTTCCTTTTCTCCTTTGCTTTTCACTCGTCTTTTCACAGCTATTTGTAAGGCCTCTTCAGACAGCCATTTTGCTTTTTTGCATTTCTTTTTCTTGGGGATGGTCTTGATCCGTCTCCTGTACAATGTCACGAACCTCTGTCCATAGTTCATCAGGCTGTCTGTCTATCCCTTGAATCTATTTGTCACTTCCACTGCATAATGGTAAGGGATTTGATTTAAGTCATACCTGAATGGTCTACTGGTTTTCCCTACTTTCTTCAATTTAAGTCTGAATTTGGCAATAAGGAGTTCATGATCTGAGCCACAGTCAGCTCCTAGTCTTGTTTTTGCTGACTGCACAGAGCTTTTCCATCTTTGGCTGCAAAGAATATAATCAATATAATTTTGGTATTGACCATCTGGTGATATCCATGTGTAGAGTCTTCTCTTGTGTTGTTGGAAGAGGGTGTTTGCTACAACCAGTTTGTTCTCTTGGCAGAACTCTATTAGGCTTTGCCCTGCTTCATTCTGTACTCCAAGGCCAAATTTACCTGTTACTCCAGGTGTTTCTTGCCTTCCTACTTTTGCATTCCAGTCCCCTATAATGAAAAGGGCATCTTTTTTGGGTGTTAGTTCTAGAAGGTCCTGTAGGTCTTCATAGAACAGTTCAACTTCAGCTTCTTCAGTATTACTGGTCGGGGCATAGACTTGGATTACCGTGATATTGAACGGTTTGCCTTGGAAACGAACAGAGATCATTCTGTTGTTTTTTAGATTGCATCCAAGTACTGCATTTCGGACTCTCTTGTTGACTATGATGGCTACTCCATTTCTCCTAAGGGACTCTTGCCCACATTAGTAGATACAACGTTCATCTGAGTTAAACTCACCCATTCCAGTCCATTTTAGTTCTCTGATTCTAAAATGTCGACACTCACTCTTGCCATCTCCTATTTGACCACTTCCAATTTGCCTTGATTCATGGACTTAACATTCCAGGTTCCTATGCAATATTGCTTTACAGCATTGGACTTTGCTTCTATCACAAGTCACATTCACAACTGGATGTTGTTTTTGCTTTGGCTCCATCTCGTCATTCTTTCTGGAGTTATTTCTCCGCTGATCTCCAGTATCATACTGGGCACCTACCAGCCTGGGGAGTTCATCTTTCAGTGTCCTATCTTTTTGCCTTTTCATACTGTTCGTGGGGTTCTCTGTAGAGCAGAGCCATAACAAGTCCACAAAATTGCATGCGGTTCGCCATCTCCAATGAGCAGCACCCCCACTCCCCTCGCCAAAGACTCCATTTAGTCTTCACACCAACACTGAGTCACTGGAATAGCTGAAAAATCCATTTCACCAATGACAGAACTGAAGGTGGTCCTGCTGTTTCCGATAGTCTCGGCCTCCAATCTGGGCAGAAATCTGACCCAGTCCTTTTCCATGCCATGTTCTCCCAGCCTCCCTACCAGGTCCCTCTAGATGGGAAAGTAATACAAGGGAACTTGGGCATCCTTGCTGAAGATGTGGCGTGGCAGATATAAGCACAGGGTCCAAGTGTAATTTCCTCTTCCTATTCCAAATCTATAGTCTTGGGCAAGTACTCCCATTGTGGTGTATTACAGAGAAAACTGCCAACAAATGGGCCCTGCTCATGATATCCAAGGGTGTTCAAAAGGGAGAAGCCTGGGTCACATGTGGGTCACAACCCAACCCCTTAGAGGACAAAGGAAGTGAAGCTGGGCTTAGGAAGAATTGGGAGTGAAAGATGATAAATGAGTGTCAACAGAGGAGAAAGAACCAGCAGGAGGACTCCTAGACTCCCGAAACCTGGGAGGACAACTGTGTCTTCCCTGTCACCTGAGAGCATGTGGATTAAGATTTGAAGAAAACACAGGCTTCTTTTGAAATGCACTCTGGTCCACTGATAACATACATATCTCTCTGGTATCAGGTAGTGGACCCCCCCTGCTCATTTCCTCTGTCATCTCAGTTCTGTCTTGGAAATGGTGCTCAAAAGTACATCGTCTGTACAAATGACCCAATTTCATTCATTCTGATGCTATGGCTGAGTAATATTTAATTGTAAATGTGTTCCACATCGTCTTTGTCCATTCATCTGTCGATGGACATTTAGGTTGACTTCCATGTCCTGGCTATTGTAATCTAGAAACATGGTACAGATGAACCTGTTTCATCAGGGCAGAGGTAGAGAATGGGCACATGGACACAGCAGGGGAAGGGGAGAATGGGATGAACCGGGAGATTAGGGTTGACATGCACTGCCATGTGTAAAACAGCTAGTAAAATAGATGATCTGTGTGGCACAGGGAGCTGAGCTCAGAGCTCTGTGATGACCGAGATGGGTGGGGTGGAGGGGTGGGGGTCAGGGATGCCCAAGAGGGAGGGGATGTAAGTAAACATATAGCTGATTCACTGCTTGTACAGCTAAAACGAATGCCATATTGTAATTATACTCCAATTTTTCAAAACGACATAGTCTTTCTTATGGGGAAGAAAAAGAACAGTAGCAGAGACAGACAATGAGTCATGCCGAGTGTATGAGGAAAGACCTAATTTGAGTGGGGTGTCTTAAACAGAAAGGAAGTATTTCTGGAAAATGACTGTTGAAATAGACTCCCCAGTCACCTCACCTGTCAAGCCCTCTGTCTGATATCTTTGCTGATATCAACAGCTATGAGCTTAGACAACCAACAAGGAACGATGCTCAATATTTTTAATAACTTACAAGGGAATCTGGAAAAGGATTTCTCTATCACAGTCAGGTTTAGCAGCTTCCCCATAAGTGAGGCAATATTTGTGAAAACAGCTACTGAAAAGTGGGCAAAGTTCTAGGAAACAAGAGGACAGTCACCTTGAGACAGGCTGGGACCTGGGACCCTTTGCAGTGCTTGCACCTGGACATATGTCCCAGAGGAACAGATACAAAGAAACTATCAGGGTACTAAAAATAACTGCACATATGGGCAGTCGGCCCAAATTATAAACAAGAAGATGCAGAAAGGCCAAAACCCAGCTGCCACTTCTGAGGGGCAGGCAGCAATAGCAGGGTCCTGCCCGTGATCCCTGCACACAGCACCACCAAGGGGGTGGGCAGACTACCCAAGTCGCCCCTCAGACCCAACCACCCTCACCCCATTTAAGGGACCAGCCTGCCCTCCGCAGGGAGGGAACAAGGGCACCTGCTGCTTGCCTTCGCTGCCTCCTGCTGCAGCACAAGTCCCGGTAAAACCTTGCCTGAACTCCTCCTCTGGCCTGTCGTCAATTTCTATCATCAAGGAGTCCAAGGACCCTGGTGATGATCCATCAAGACGGGCTCAGACTCTGGTCCTTGAAAGTACATGTTCTCCAGAGAGAGACCTGGGGAGACTTCTGTTTCCTTAGCAAACAGCAAGTCGTTTTAATTAAAAGTACTTAAAATTTTCAGAAACAACACAATCAATGACTTTCTGATATCAACAGCAATGAGCTTAGATAACCAACAAGGAACTATACTCAATATTTTTAATAACCTATAAGGGGAAAGAATCTGGAAAAGGATCCATCTATCTATAACTGAATCATTGTGCTGTACACCTAAAACGTGACATTGGAAGTCAACTTATTTTTTTTTTCTACTGTGCCATGGGGCATGCAGATCTTAGTTCCCTGACCAGGGATCAAACCTGTGCCCCCTGCATTGGAAGTGCAGAGTCTTAACCACTGGACTGCCAGGGAAGTCCAATTATACTTCATTTTTTAAAAAATGGTTAAATGGGGGAAAAAAGCAATGAGCTAAGTTTATGCAGCAGAAACAAGAGCATTTGTCTTGAATAATTCAGAGAACTATTTGCATGTTTCATGGATGAACTTTTATTAAAATTATACATAGATCTCACAGTTAATTTTTTTAAAAAACAAGAACTTCCTTTTCCCCCTAGTATCAAAATAGTTATCTTTTTTAAATACCTTGAAAAACTTTAATACAATTGCTATATATTAAATACTCTGCTAAAATCTCAGTCATTTCTCTCCCATTCATTCTAGAATCCTGCTTTAGTGTCGCTACCACTTTCTTTTTTGGCATCCTTAATGCTTCATCCCAGAGAAACATCAAGAGGAAAAGATTTTCCTGTTAAGTCCATTATTTAAAAAAAAAAAAAAGTTTAGGAGAAGCCAATGACAATATTTGATTTGGTACTGAAGATTTTTATGAATCATTCCTTAATACAAGTATGCAGGCCCTGGAATTACTTAAAATAGCAGTTCTTGCCCTGAAATGGTTATACTGACCAATCAGCACCCTCTGGTGGTCTGGAAACATACAAACAGCTGACTCAGGAAGGTCTTTTCAGATGTTTGGTGCTGGAAATACAGACACAGAGACCAGAAGTTTTTATTTTCAGGGGTCAAGACAAGACAACTGGCTTCCCCCAATCCCAGTCTCAACACAGATCGCCCACAGGTGCTCGGTGCAGAGCCGAGAGAATGGCAGCTCCCCCGAGGATGCAAAATCAGAAACTGGACTCAGGCAAGGTTTTCTTCCGACGTAAGGACAGTGTGTGGTACTTCACCTTTGGCAAGGTACCGAAAGACGTCTGCTCCCCGGAGACACTCCTCTGGGATGTGCCCAGGGCACTGGCCCTCGGGGGCCTGCCAGTCTTGCGAGGGAGGAGCAGAGAGCTGGGCGCTGACCGGACGTCCCTCTCTCTTTCCAGGTGGCCGGCCGGGCCCCTGGCCAGGCTCTCTCGAATCCTGAGGGATGGAGACGAGCCTCGGGCCTCCCCATCCACAGCCGGGCTCTGCCTGCCGCTCACCAGGGAGACGGGGGCCGCCTGGGGGGCTGCCTCTGGCCTGTCCCTCTTCCTGATCTCCTTCTTCCAAAACACAGACCTCAGAAGGGTGAGGGTCCCTTGTGGGAATCTGTCTGTCTCGGGGTCCTTTCTCTCCCCATTAGCCCTCATCTTGCCCGAGCTGTTTGGGCGACCGGCTGCACTCTTTCTAGGTAACGTCGCAGCATTGGGACCCTCCTTGGGGGAGGGTGCTTGGCCACTGCTCCTGGTTAGGCCACTTCCCTTACAGCTTGTGGTCCTTTGGCCCTCAGGCCGGGCTCGTCTCCCATCGTCTTCTGTTGAGGACATCACCGTGAGGGGCAAGTCAAACTGTTTGGGCAGCCTGATATCCTGACTTGAGTTTTCCTTGAGCTTCCTGGCTGCATTCGAGCCATCTGAGTTGCCAGGGACCATGCAGTGGCCAGGATGGCCAGAGGGGCAGGGCGCTGTGGCCAGCACCGTGTCGCTGGTTCGCCTACTGTCTTCACTGTCCACAGAGAGGGTGGCATGTGACTTCTGGTGACCGCCGGCAGGACCCGTCAGCAGCTGCACGATGGACTGGCTCGTGGACCGAGGTCTCCGTCTGGACTCCAAGTACTCCACCAGCTCGATGGATGTGCCCAGAGGTTTCTCCCTGGGGCCAAAAGACCAGCGGAGGGGCATGGTCTTGAAGGCCCCCTGCTTGGCTCGGGAAGGTGTGGGCACCTTCATGCTGATGCTGCGGCCTTGGATGCCCCGTGCCAAAGGCCTGGACTCCAAGCCTCCTGAAAGAGACACCAAGAGCATCAGTACCTGACTTTCCCTCCAGCTGCAGTAAGAGTGGGGGCTTCCCTCGTGGCTCAGGTGGTAAAGAATCCGCCTGCAATGTGGTAGACCCATGTTCCATCCTTAGGTCGGGAAGATCCCCTGGAGAAGGGCATGGCAACCCACCCCAGTATTCTTGCCTGGAGAATCCCATGGACAGAGGAGCCTGGCAGGCTACAGTCCATGGGGTCGCAAACAAGTCGGACACAACTGAAGCAACTTAGCACCCAAGCAGTAAGAGTAGCCACATCCAACAAGCACTGACCGAGCACCTCCGATGATCAGGCACCATCCTGAGTGCTGGGGACATAGCAGTGAACAAGACTATGGCTCCTGCCCTTGGGAACATCAATGTTTTCACTCACTGTTTCGTGGGCTCCATTTACATACTTGAAGCCACAGGGCAAGCTAGAGCCAACAGAGGTAGCTACGTGCCAGGCAGTGCAGACTCCCGAGAAAGCTCAGTCTCTGAGGCCACGGGCCTAAGATTTAAGATTCTTTTCATTCATCTTAAATATGGCCATGGAACAAAATGCTCAGCAAAAATCCCTGCCTTTTCAGGTCAAATTAGGTGCTTGTACCTTTCAAATGCACCAATATCCCTTAGGCTTAAAGGAAAAAAGAAGAAAAGAAGAGGATCATGTGTTTAATTTTATCAGAATTGCCAGATTCTCCATTGTGCGTTTTGTGACATAGAAAGATGCTTTTGAAATATACTATTAAGGATGATACAGAGTCAAGAAAAAGAGTAATCCAACTTGCAAAAATATATATATATACACAGGTATAAGTATAGATCTGTGCATATGTACATATGAAAACATACAAAGTATGGAGAAATAAATACTAAAATGACAAGGTGTTGAAGGAACCGTGGGGGTGCTCTGTGTTTTTTATTTTCTTCTCAATTCTTTCCTTACTCTCATCATTTCTAAAGGGAACATACATATACCCAAGACTGTGTATCTTTCCTGAAGACATAGTCAATCAATGTCAAAAAAAAACAAACTTAGGCACTAACTTAAGCAAGGAGGTGACTTGTACACTGAAAACTGAAAAACATTGCTGAAAGAAATGAAAGATGACATAAATAAATGAAAACGGATCTTGTGTTCATGGATTTGAAGATTTAATATTGTTAAAATGTCAGGATTTCCCTGGTGGTCCATGGTTAAGACTCTGCACTTCCAAGGCAGGGGGCACAGGTTCAATTCCTGGTCTGGGAACTAAGATCCCATATGCCTCATGGCATGGCAAAAAGAAAAAAATAAAATAGCAATAAGAACAATAAAAAAATTTTTTTAATCTTCAAAAAAATTGTCAATGTTACCCAAAGCGATATATGGATTTAATGCAATCCCTATCAAAATACCCACGAGGTATTAAACAGAAATAGAAAAACTCATCCTAAAATTCATACGGAATCTCACGGGACCCCAAATAGCCAGTCACCGGAAAGACACACACTGTATGATTACACCCTAAGGACTCTGAGCAGTCAAAAGCAGAGACACAAAGTATAACGGTGGCTGCCAGGGGCTGGGGGAGGAGGGAACAGGGAATTAGTGTTTAACAGGTTCAGGGGTTCAGATTTACAAGATGAGAAGAGTTATAGGGGTGGTTTTTGGTGGCCGTACAACAATGTGAATGTGCTTAATACCACCGAACTGTACACTTACAGATGGTCAAGATGGCAAAGCCAGTTATGTGTGTGTTTGTTTTTTTTCCTGGTTTGTGGGATCTTAGTTTCCCAACCAGGGATTGAACCCAGGAAACTTGACAGTGAAGTCTGGTAGTCCTAACCACTGGACCACCAGGGAAGTCCCTGTTATATGTGTTTAACACAATTTTTAGAAGTTAAAAAGTCATTGGTCATTGTACTGTTAAGACGCCTTGATTTATGAGATGCCTGTCACCACTGAGAAAGGACTCTTCAGCTAAGCCCATGTGGCACAAGGACAGTCACCCTGGGCCAGGGCACCAGCCTCTTGCCCACAGTCCTCCACTCTCACCACAGGGCACAGTCCGCAGCTCCCAAAATGAGCAGGACTGCAGCCACCAATGCCAACCTCTGAGCTGTATGAAGAGGGCCCGGGGGCAGGGGATGCTCAGGAGGTCAGAGGAGCAGGTACAAGGGGTCCCCAAGCTGCCAGCCGGGAACACGCACAAGCAGGTAAGCCAGCCGAGGTGCACAGACAGTCCATCAACCCCACGAGCCATCTGACCGCACCTCCGAGGTTCTGGAGAGCTTGCCTTTCAGGTTTTCCACAGATAATCTTTGGTATTTTTTATTTTTCTTTAAAGCACTTTACATTAGCCAGCGATGGACACAACATCACTCCCAAATACTTTGTAATTCCAGTCCTAAGTGATGTTGTTGTTCCATCATTGAATTCCCACACCTTGGAGGGAAAATAAATAAATAAAACAGTTCTGGGGGCTGAGACGTGTGGGAAGGTTTTGTTCCTGGTCCACAGCCCGGGGTAAGGGCAGAAAGAGAAGCTTTGTATTAGGAGTCACAGAGCGGTGACTTTCAGCCTTTCAAAACGGGAGGAGCCCTGGCATGCGGCGGAGCCCGCTCTCCATCCTTCCCCCGCCCCCGATCGAGGGCGCGGGCACCCCGCATCCTGTCACAGGAACCGCAGGTGTCCACAAAGCACCCAGCTCCTCTTTCTCAAGACGCAGTGAGAAAGCACCTTGCCGATCAGGATTTTATTTCATTCTGTTTGTTGGATCTGAGAAGGAGCCAGAGCTTTGACGGAGGGGAGAAATAAACGTGAAAGCACCCACTGGGAGCCCTCGCTTCCTGTTCACCAAAGACCTCGCTTTCTGCACCTCTGTGTGCAGAAACAGAAAAGTAAAAACACACTTAACGGGGTCTGGCCGGAGAAGGACATGGTAATCTACTCTGGTACTTGTGCCTGGGAAATCCCACAGAGAGAGGGGCCTGGCAGGCTACAGTCCATGGGGCTGCAAGAGACTCAGACACGACTGAAGGGACTAAACAGCAAACAAACGGGGTCTGGCGGTCAGAGAATATGAATAAACAGAACCATCAGAACAGGCTCTTTTGAGCCATCAAAGAAAACAGACAAAGGCTATCAATGAGACTCCAGTGTAGAAAAACAGGAGACTGAAATATGTGACTTTCAGGTTTTAAATTTCAGTAAATGAACTGAAGGCATTCAGGGTCACTGTTAAGACTCAGATTAGTGCCCTGAAGTGATCTTGAAATTTATGACATTTGGTACATTTCACAAATTCTATAATTGTGAAAGAAGCATTTCAAGCCACAGAGCAAAATTGCAAAGAGATAGAAATTGCAGGGCAAAGCTAGGAGACTTTTGAGGAGGGATGTAGGAGAGTAAAAAGGCAAATAACAGGAATTTGAAAAGTAGGCAAGACAATAATTAAACAAAAAGAGCATTTCCTTAAAGAAAAGCCTGCACCTGGAGAAGGAGCGTTGCGAGTTCCAGACAGGGTTGAGGAACAAACACAGACCCAGGCATATTCTGGTAGGATTTCTAAACACTAAGGTCAAAGCTTCCAGCCAGAAAGAACAAGTGACTCTCAATGAAAAAAAAAGAACTTCTCACCTGCAACCTTAGGGCCTCATAGACCGTGGGAAAACGTCCACAGATGCCTGAGAGAAAAACAACTGTAACCTCAGAGCCCTTCACCACCAAGCTACCATATACTTCCCGGGGAAAGAAAACATTTGCGGCTCTGCTGAGAGTTAGACAGCATATCACGCATACCTAAAAAGAACTCTGAGCAAACACTGAAAGTCAGCACCACGACCGCAAGACAGAGGGTGATGAAGACACACAGCGGTGTCCCGGTGGACCCTGCAATCAGGTACCATCCACCCTCCCAGGGAACAGGGGGTCTTAGGATGTGTTACATGAGGTTAAGTTGGTGTGTTTGGGACAGGAAAGGGACAGCAAGAGGAATTCTGATGCCAATCTGGAACAGAGTGGGAAACCATCTCAGCAAAATCTAAGAGCTGGGGAATGACATGGGGGAGCTCCAGAAACAGACCGGAAGGAACATGTGAGAACATTTCTAAGCTCTCAAATGGGGGGAATGGCATGGAAGCGTTATACAGGTCACCTTATGAGGGAAAGAGAGAAGGCAGTGCTGAAACAGGATGACTCACAGGAAACAGCAGGCTTCTCATATCCGTATAATAACAGGACAATACATTTGATTACAAATATTGGGAAGCATGAAGTAACAATAAGATGTTAAAGAACAGCACTTCCAAGTGAAGGAGGAGAAAAAGGGAACACATTGCAACATGATCAAATCACTAAAAATAAGAAAAAAAGAATGAGTATTAGAAAACATTTTTAAATGAAAATTCACTATATATAAAATAGGTAACCAACAAGGACCTACTATATAGCACAGGGAACTATATCAATATTTTGCAGTAACCTGTGAGGGAAAAGAATCTGAACAAGAATATATAATATATATATTATATATGCATGTATGATAAGTGGCTTAGTCGTGTCCAACTTTTTGCAACCCTATGGACTGTAGCCAGCCAGGCTCCTCTGTCCATGGGATTCTCCAGGCAAGAATACTGGAGTGGGTTGCCCTCCTGCAGGGCATCTTCCCAACCCAGGGATCAAATCCATGTCTGTTATGCCTCCTGCATTGGCAGGCAGGTCCAGGAAATCACTCTGCTGTGCCCCAGAAGCTAACACAACATTGTAAATCAACTATACTTCAATTTTAAAAAAGGACATGGCGAAATTGAATACAACAATTGACTCACCTAACTGAATACTTAAGATATGAAGCTCACATTCCTCAAACAGACAATGTACATTATTTTGTACATCGTGTACACAGAACGCTGATAAATAACAAATAACACTGACAAAATAATCATCATGTACTCACTTGATCACAAAAAGGGAATCATTTTTGAAAACAACATTCTTGGATCACGATACATAAAATCAGATATCAAGAATAAAAAAGTGACTAAAAACTCTTAAACAATTGAAACACCCTGATAACCTTAAGATCAAAGAGGAAATCGAAACTGAAATAACATACTATTTGGAAAGCACTGAAAAAGAGACAATAAAACCTTTGAGGCTTATTAAAAGCCATAGAGGAAATTCACCATCAGGAACATCGACACTGAAATGCTTTAGTCCTAGGGCCTCTCCTCTGAAAGGACCTCAGCAATTTTTTCACATGGTCATGTTTATATACACAGTTACACAAGTAAAGTGTTTCTGTGTCCTTTTCTTTTTAACAGAGCCTCTCCTAACGTTCATCCCCAATTATATAAGTTGTGGTCCCCATAAATTTGGATCTGTTCATTTTTGTTTAAATTGCTTTCATTATTATGAGGTCCCATAACCAGAGCTATCGGAAGGATCAAACTGCCAAGCTATCAGTGTTTCTCTGCAGGGGAACTGCTGGCACTCGGGAAGGACAAGTCTGTGCTGCGTGGAGCCATCCCTGAGCATTGCAAGACATTTAGCACCCTTGCCCCCTAGGGACTAAATGCCAGTTGTCCCCTCTACTCATTTTGACAATAAAAAAAATTCTCCCACATACCCATAGGGAGAGGAGGTGGTACTAAGTGAAACTGTTAGTCAGTCCCTCAGTCATGTCTGACTCTGCAGTCCCATAGACCGTAGCCCACCAAGTCCTCCATCCATGGAATTCTCCAAGCAAAAAACTGGAGTGTGTTACCATTCCCTTCTAAGGGATCTTCCCGACCCAGGGACTGAACCGGAGTCTCCTGCATTGCAGGCAGAGTCTTTACCATCTGACCCACCAGGGAAGCCCAGCTATTGTTGAAAACCTATGGGCTGGATTTTGATTTTTGTTTTTTAATAAATTTATTTATTTTAATTGAAGGCTAATTACTTTACAATATTGTAGTGGTTTTCATAAATTGACATAAATCCATCACGGGTGTACATGTGTTCCCCATCCTGAACCCCCCCTCCCACCTCTCTCCCCATCCCATCCCTCTGGGTCATCCCAGTGCACCAGCCCCGAGCACCCTGTCTCATGCATCGAACCTGGACTGTTGATCCATTTCACATATGATAATATACATGTTTCAATGTATGGGCTGGATTTTGATCTTGCCCCAGGCTTAGTACTCACAGGAAAATAAGGATGGATATTTAACCATCTCAGGGCTTCTCAAACAGGTTCTAAATCTATCACCATTATATTCAAACTCCAAGAGGGAACACTCCTTTTGAAGCAAGGCTCTGACCCGTGTCCTAACTTGAAACTTGAATTTGGAATTCACCAATTCATACCTAAGAGCCACAGAGCCAGGATTCTGGCAGCCAGAAGGAGCAGGTCTTCCTGCAGCCCAGCTACTTTACAGCTGAGCTTGTGACTGGTTATGTCTGAGGTTCAGCTTTCTCTTTTGTAAAAAGGTGATTATCTCACTTCTCCCAGAGAGCTGGATGAGGAGATGAGATACATAATGTGCCTGCAAGGGTGTGGAGGTTAGTGACTCTCCAATACTATTTCTCCTTCCATCCCACCCCTCTCTGTCTCTCTGGGGAGTTTTCTAGAGCTATGCCTGACCCCTGTCTGAGTACTATGTTGGAAAGTTGGCTGTCTTTTGAAGTTGCCTCCTTAAGCAATATGAAACACACTTTTTCTTGGGAGAACTGAGAAATGGCCCAAGGTCCTAAACCTCTGGACAGACCTGGGGTGAATTTATGAGCTTGTCAGAGGCTCATGCTAATGGGGAATGGACAAGCTTGGGAAAGAATGCCTTTTGTTTTCTGTTCAACAGACACTACCCTAAAATGTGCAGTCATAAAAAAATGTGCACAGATAAAAAATGTGAAGAGAAAAGAAATGCCCAGATAGGGTGAGTCAGAATATAATGCACTGGAACTTCCCTGGTGGTCCAGAGGCTAAGACCTGCACTCCCAATGCAGAGGGCCCAGATTCCATTCCTGATCAGGGAACTGCCCCAACTAAAAGTTTGTAATGTTGCAACTAAAGATCCCGTGTGCCGCAGCCAAGACCCAACACAGCCAAATAAACAGACAAATATTCTAAAAAAAAAGAAAAGAAAATGAAAATAAGATCAGCAAATTTAACCAACTTGATGAAACATACCCTTCTCCTGCCTGGGCAGGCTGTTGGTGCAGAAGGTAGGCTCGGGCAACCGGGGCCGTGCAGGGCCAGGGGCAGAGCTCCAGGACAACAGGCTGCCCCTTGTGCTGCCGTTACTGCTCCCAAGCCGGAGGAGCCAGTGGTCAGACAAGGAGGAGCTGGTGGAACCTGCAGGGGGAACACAGAGAGGGTGGGCTGGACCATCCTTCGGGGCCCCCAGAACACTGCTCATTGCTAGATTCCCATCCCCGAGCCCGGAACTACAGAACCAAAGCAGAGCTACAGAAATGAAAGTGAATTGCTAGAGGAGAACCTATAACTGATGAACCATAGCTTCCCTGGTGGCTCAGAAGGTAAAGAATCCACCTGCAAAGTGGGAGACCCAGCTTCTATCCTTGGGTTGGGAAGATCCCCTGTAGAAGGGCATGGCAACCCACTCCAGTATTCTGGCCTAGAGAATCCCAGAGGAACCTGGTGGGCTACAGTCCATGGGGTCGCAAAGAGTCGGACATGACTGAGCAACTACATTTTCACTTTTGTCTTTAATAAACATAGCTCTCAGGTTGGGTTAAGCGATTATTTCCTATTAAGGACCAACATCCCTTATAACTACCTCTCCCTTTCTAATGGGACTAATGCAGGGCTATACTACACAATCTTAACACATTATTGACCTGAGATGTATTAATGTGTCTTTTGTTACCTGAATATTATTGACTGGCAACACATCAATACATTTGTAGAGAGTGATACAATTAACATCACCCTGAGAATTTGTTAGAGCTTAAAATTGATCAAGGGTTTATTATGCAACTTATGAACATCATTATCATTCACATTTTCCTCCCTTAGGTTTTTGTTCCAACCTTGTGTGTAGTCTAAACTTAAAATTTTCAAAAATGACACATCACAAAATTTTGAGTGAAAAAGAATTTTTCAGTAAATTCTATGCTGATTGTCCAAGTGACATATATACTAGTGTCTCAGAAGATGATAGTTCTTCAGAATATAGTTCTGAGTCAAACAATGTAAATATTAGGCCAACAAAAAATGGAAAGTGAAAGTGAAACTCATGATGCTAAAGAAGGCTCCTTTGCTTCTACAGAAGAGAGAACGAAAGACAACATTTTATGAAAATCAGAAAACTACAGTTGTGTCAGATGTAACAATTGAATATCATAACCCTCAAAGTGTTAATAAAATAACAGAACTAATTTTTGGCTGACCAAAATAAAAATTGGTGGCCACGGCAACAGTTTCTGCAAAAATCCCTCAGTCAATAATGAGTTAATTAAGATCAAGCTCATATGAGCAAGAAAGAAAATATAGAATGCCACACTCCCAAGAGTCACCTGTCACAGGAAAAAAATGTTATTCCTTTTCCCGTTCTTGGATCTCATTGTGTCCCGCCCACATCTTTACAAACGGACACAGCTCTATAGGGCTGGACATGCTCTGGAAAGTGAAAGTCGCTCAGTCATGACTGAGTCATGGACTCCCCACACAGTCCATGGAATTCTCCAGGCCAGAATACTGGAGTGGGTAGCCGTTCCCTTCTCCAGTGGATCTTCCCAACCCAGGGATCGAACCCAGGCCTCTCACACTGCAAGCAGATTATTTACCAGCTAAGCCAGCAGAGAAGCCCAAGAATACTGGAGTGAGTGGCCTATCCCTTCTCCAGCGGATCTTCCTGACCCAGGAATCAAACCAGGGTCTCCTGCATAGCAGGCAGATTCTTTACCAGCTGAGCTACCAAGAAAGCAGACAAAGCTTCCTCTTTCAGACCCTTGCCGGACCTATCCTGGTCCTTGATGTGACTGAGCATCTTGCATTTGTCCAGTTCCCCCCTCTTCCGGGAGGAGCGGCAGTACCTACCTCTCATGGAGCTGCTGGCTGACCACGGAGGGATGCTGTTCCTCTTCTGATAAAACAAGATGTAAGCCCCTCGTGTATTGACCTCGTCTTCTAGAAGCGGCTCCACCGTGCTGTCATCGTAACTGTACCACTGGCCGTCCAGAGAGTTCCGGCAGTAGGCTGCGAAGGTCCAAACCCCAAGTCCCCATTAATTGGAGCCCCCCAAAGCAGGAAGAGATTTCCCACTGGCATGGCTGAAAAACAGATATTTGTCATAGAATGAGAAACATCGGTTCATTTTTAGCCAGAAAGGAATTTGGTGGAATCAGAAAGGATCATCCAGATGCTCACTGATAAAAAGTGGGTTGTTACTACACAAGCTGAATCCTTACGTTGTAGAGATTGTTCAGGCAAAATTTCTAATAAAAGCATGTCCTGAGTTATTTATGGGGGGCTTCCCTGGTGGCTCAGATGGTAAAGAATCTTCCTGCAATGCATGAGACCCAAGTTTGATCCCTGGGTCAGGAAGATCCCCTGAAGAAGGGAATGGCTACTCATTTCAGTATTCTTGCCTGGGAAATCCCACGGACAGAGAAGCCTGGTGGGCTACAGTCCATAGAGTCGCTAAAGAGTCAGATGTGACTGAGCATCTGACACTCACTTTTTTCAGGTAATAATGCTAATGGTCATCCTGGTTCTTTTGAGAAGCTTCAAAATGCACATCTCTGATTCAGTATGCAAGGAAAATATGCAGTTGGGATTATAATTCACTTCTTTCCTACCTAAGAACTGTAGTCAAACATCTAAGAAAATGATCACAGATAAGATTTTCACCACCTTCCAAACAAATATAAGAAATATTCCTCTCCTTTCCCTACACATCTCAGTAAATGGTACCATAACATACTAATTCAGGAGTGAAAGCCAGCTTTTTTCTGCAATGGGCCAAATAGCCCATCTGGCCAATTTTAGGCTCTGCAGGTCACCTTTGGCCACCTACGGTCTCTGTCATATACTCTTCTTGCCATTATTTGGTTTGTTTTTTGTTTTGCTTTTTTACCCCTTTTAAAATGTAAAAACCATTTTTAACTCATGGACCGAATAAATAACAGGTGCCAGACTGGATCTGACCCACGAGCCACACTTGGCTGGCTTTTTTTTTTTGGGCTGAAACTCATGGCATGTGGGATCTTAGTTCCCCGACCAGGGATTGAACCCACATCCCCTGCTGTGGAAGTATAGTTGACTGATTTGCACTGGCTCAAACCAGGCACGAAAAGTTCATCTTTGCTCCTGACTCTCTCCCATCCCATGCTGAGTCCAAAAGCCAGTCTGACCAATTCTCTTTCCCAAATGTGTCTTGAATACCCTATCATCACCCAAGTCCCAGCCAACACCATCTCCCACTTGAGGCCCAGAAACACCCTGCTAACTGCAATTCCAGCTTACATTCTTGCTCCACCCAATTCTCTGCTCGAGCTAAGACCTCACTTTGTGAACTCGATTATGTCTTTATTCCTCTGCTGAAAATCTTTTAATGACTTCCCACCATAGTTTGGAAAAATGCAATCTCTTTTCCATGGCCTCCGGAGTCTTGGGATCCAGCCCCATCTTGACTTACTTCCCCCTTCAGTCACAGCGGGCTTTCATCAGTTCTTAAACCACAAACTCTGCCTCTGGACCTTTGCACATGCTAGCAGCACTGCCCATAATGCTTTCCTACCATTATTCACACGGCTAGTTCCACATCATCTTTCCTAAAGGTAACATGCTCAGGCAGGCCTTATCTATATCTCAGACACATCAACCAATCACCTTTTCATGACACCAAGTAGCGAAAGTGTTAAAGGGACAAGCACCTTTTTATTTCTGTGTCTGAAATTAGTCCCATGAGGGCATGACTCCTATTCATCTTGTTCATTACTTAGGCTCCAGCACCTAGCCCAGGGTTTGTCTTAGAATGGGGACTTTATAAATATTTGCTCAATGAACAAATGAATGATGATCCTGGTTGTTTATACGGTCCAGTGTTTTCCAAACTGCAGGTTCATGAGTATACTAGGAATAGCACACTTTTCAAAATTACTAGAGCTAATCAACGAATACAGTAAAGTTGCAGGATATAAAATTAACACACAGAAATCTCTTGCATTCCTATACACTAACAATGAGAAAACAGAAAGAGAAATTAAGGAAACAATACCATTCACCATTGCAACAAAAAGAATAAAATACTTAGGAGTATATCTACCTAAAGAAACAAAAGACCTATACATAGAAAACTATAAAACACTGATGAAAGAAATCAAAGAGGACACAAACAGATGGAGAAATATACCGTGTTCATGGATTGGAAGAATCAATATTGTCAAAATGGCTATACTACCCAAAGCAATCTACAGATTCAATGCAATCCCTATCAAACTACCAACGGTATTTTTCACAGAACTAGAACGAATAATTTCACAATTTGTATGGAAATACAAAAAACCTCGAATAGCCAAAGTAATCCTGAGAAAGAAGAATGGAACTGGAGGAATCAATCTGCCTGACTTCAGACTATACTACAAAGCCACAGTCAGCAAGACAGTATGGTAATGGCACAAAGACAGAAATATAGATCAATGGAACAGAATAGAAAGCCCAGAGATAAATCCACAAACCTATGGTCACCTTATCTTCGACAAAGGAGGCAAGGATATACAATGGAAAAAAGACAACCTCTTTAACAAGTGGTACTGGGAAAACTGGTCAACCACCTGTAAAAGAATGAAACTAGAACACTTTCTAACACCATACACAAAAATAAACTCAAAATGGATTAAAGATCTAAATGTAAGACCAGAAACTATAAAAGTCCTGGAGGAGAACATAGGCAAAACACTCTCCGACATAAATCACAGCAGGATCCTCTATGACCCACATCCCAGAATTTTAGAAATAAAAGCAAAAATAAACAAATGGGACCTAATGACACTTAAAAGCTTTTGCACAACAAAGGAAACTATAAGCAAGGTGAAAAGACAGCCCTCAGATTGGGAGAAAATAATAGCAAACGAAGCAACAGACAAAGGATTAATCTCAAAAATATACAAGCAACTCCTCCAGCTCAACTCCAGAAAAATAAATGACCCAATCAAAAAATGGGCCAAAGAACTGAACAGACATTTCTCCAAGGAAGACATACAGATGGCTAACAAACACATGAAAAGATGCTCAACATCACTCATTATCAGAGAAATGCAAATCAAAACCACAATGAGGTACCATTACACACCAGTCAGGATGGCTGCTATCCAAAAGTCTACAAGCAATAAATGCTGGAGAGGGTGTGGAGAAAAGGGAACCCTCTTACACTGTTGGTGAATGCAAATTAGTACAGCCACTATGGAAAACAGTGTGGAGATTTCTTAAAAAGCTGGAAATAGAACTGCCATATGACCCAGCAATCCCACTTCTGGGCATACACACCGAGGAAACCAGATCTGAAAGAGACACGTGCACCCCAATGTTCATCGCAGCACTGTTTATAATAGCCAGGACATGGAAGCAACCTAGATGCCCATCAGCAGACGAATGGATGAGGAAGCTGTGGTACATATACACCATGGAATATTACTCAGCCATTAAAAAGAATTCATTTGAATCAGTTCTAATGAGATGGATGAAACTGGAGCCCATTATACAGAGCGAAGTAAGCCAGAAAGATAAAGACCATTACAGTATACTAACACATATATATGGAATTTAGAAAGATGGTAATGATAACCCTATATGCAAAACAGAAAAAGAGACTCTGATGTATAGAACAGACTTGTGGACTCTGGGAGAAGGCGAGGGTGGGATGTTTCAAGAGAACAGCATCGAAACACGTATATTATCTAGGGTGAAACAGATCACCAGCCCAGGTTGGGTGCATGAGACAAGTGCTCGGGCCTGGTGCACTGGGAAGACCCAGAGGGATCGGGTGGAGAGGGAGGTGGGAGGGGGGACCAAGATGGGGAATACATGTAAATCCATGGCTAATTCATTTCAATGTATGACAAAACCCACTGCAATGATGTAAAGTAATTAGCCTCCAACTAATAAAAATAAATGGAAAAAAAAAAACAAAACAAAATATTTCCAAGAATTTTTTCCAAAAATGACCTAATTTATATTAGTGTAGAACAGACCAAGGTATGCAATTATGAACTGAGCGGGCTGCCAAGCTCTTTGTTTCTGTCCTTCCATCCTTCATTCACTTCAAGTTCCTAGGAGGCAGTAACAGTTGAATGTACCCCATAGAAATAAATACCAAATCTGATAAGTGGGAGACTTTGGGCTGAATCACAAATGAGAACAAATGAGAAACTCTTTGGGTTTCACCTGATATGGTGAAAACTTGGGCTGTAACTAACTTTCTATCCCAACCACCCTCCTAACCCTGCCCCATGCTTGGACCAGCACCCTCTACCCTCTGGCAGGTTCCAGGCATGCAGCGGGTGAGGGGTCAGCTGGTGCCGAGTGCCCGAGTGAGCTTGGCATCCCATGAGTGTCCCTTCCCACGGTATCTGGAGGCCCAGGCCACGGCCACAAATGTGGCCATAGCAGCAGCAGCAGCCATAGGCCACAAGGCAGGCTCACCTGTGTAATGCCCACCTTGCAAACTGCCGTGGTGGTTGCAGACGGCGTAGAGGTCATACAGGAAGTCCGGCGGGTAGCTGGTGGGCAGGCAGGCCGGCTGCTTCCAGGAAGGAGGCCAGGCGCCCGGCATGGCCTTGGGGCTGGTGCTCCTCTGGGCCACGTGGGGAGCCATGTCGAGCCCGGCGAGCGGGAACTTCACCAGCATGGAGAGCTTGTTCCTCCTCTCGCCCACCTGGCAGAAGCGCTTGAGGTGGATGATAAGGATGTCGGGCAGGGTCCAGAGGCTCAGCTTCACCACCCCCTGCTGCAAGGCCTGGCAGTGTGGGCACCGCCACGCGTCATCCTGGGCCAGCTGGAAGGGAAACCACTGTGAGCCCACCCATTGATGGCCCTGGCACCCCCCACCCCCGCCCCGCCCAGCCAGGGCGCAGACCCCCAGGGCGGGACCTGCTCCTCCTTGGTGTAGAACTGGAAACACTCGTCCAGGGTGCAGCTGTGCTGCTGGTGGGCCTGCTGCTGCCGCCTCACACTGTCCGCGTCCTGCACCCGCTCCTCCTGGGGGCTCCCAAACAGGCTGCAGGGGGAGCCGACAGAGGCCGTGTGGGTATCTCACCTCCCCGCCCTGCCCTCCCCACCCAGGGGTCTCTACTCCCAGCTAATGGGGTGCAAAGCATCTCCTGTGGAGTCAAAGGCCCCCTTCCTTGGGCTCACGGAGTGCCCACTCTCTCTTACTCGAATTCTCAGTCTCCCCCACCAGCCCTGAGAAGGACCAAGCCCTTGGCTTATACATCTTTGTTTCATGTGAGGCACGGCCTGGCACCTAGTTGAGATTAATAAACCCTCACCAGGCTGAACGGTGTCCTTTCCCAATGTTGGAAGATGCCCTCAGGGTTAGAGAAGCAGCCACGCTGAGTGACTAAGAGTGTGCACTTGAGCCCGACGGCCCGAGTTCAAAGTTCACCTCTGCCAGGCACGGGGAGCAACCGTTTAACCTCTCTGCGCCTTGGTTTCCTCATCTGACAAGGCGGATTCGAGTCGGCCCTACCTTACAGAAAGTGATGCATGAAATATCCTACATGGATGGAAAGTGCTCAGAGCAGTGACTGGCCAAGTGTCACCTCACCATTTACAACTGTGACCATGACCACCATGGCCATCACCCACCGACATCATTATACTAGTCCTACTGCTGTTGTTTATAGACAGACAATTGCCACTGGGGCTTCTTGGAAGAATGGGTCACAGTGCATCCGGGAAGCTTCATACACCCCATGGTGGCATCAGGGGAGCTGGCACAGGAAGGTCCATTATGCACGAACAGGCTTTGTCTCCTCTGCTTGAGCTGGGCTCTGCTGGACTCACCGCTCCTTGGTGTCAACGTCCCACTCCACGGCCAGTTTGATGTGCGGGGGGCCTCCTGGCCTCCTAAGATGCAGAGCCCTGATGAGAGAATAGGGGGCCCATCCAAGGCATGGAGGTAGCTTCCCACTCTCCCCACCCTCTCCACCCCCAGTACCGATGTTCCCAACAGAAACGTCCAGAGCTGCATGGAAACCGAGGTTGGGGGCCTGGGGAGGCGCTGTCTGTGGAAGGCTTGGTCCTTCATCCACCCTGAAGCCTCTGTCCTCCCTGCCCTGGGAGCTGGCGAGCTCTGAGGATCTGGTGGCTGCCCAGCCATGGCTCAGTGCTCCCACTGCAGCCCCAGCCACCTGCTCAATGTCAACAGGTCTGTTCTGTTTGAACATCCTACACACACACCCAATTCTGATGATGTCCAAAATGAGCTGCTGGGTTTTCCTCCACTGTGAAGTGAAAGGAGCACCTTCGAGCCCACCTCTACAACCTAAAAGGTCTTCCCCTTCCAGAGCTGTCCAGACCCAGAAAATCTCATCAGCCCATCACTCTTTCCAGCTGTTTTCACTCAGCCCATTTCAGAAGAAACTGGCTGGCCTTAATGCAGAAGAAAGTGGAAGACATGAAATCAACAAGATACATATGGACAAGCGATGGGAGGGTCTGCCCCTTAAAAGAAGGTTTTGAATGTACTGTAAGAAAAAAGTGGAGTGTCACAAGAGTCCCCAGCTGTCACCAAGATGATTTTGAGGGACTTCCCTGGGGGTCCATGGTTAAGACTCTGCGCTTCCAATGCAGAGGGCATACGGTTACATCCCTAGTCAGGGAACTAAGATCCTGCATGCCGTATAGCATGGCCAAAAAATAAAAATAACTAAAATAAAATAAAATTGAAACTATTTAAAAAAAAAACAAAAAACAAAACAAAACCCCAGGGTTTGAGTTCATGGAAGGTATACAATCCTTAACTAGCCATGTGAGTGTGAATAAGTCCTCATCTTTGGGAACCCCAGTGTCCCCTCCATCTCTGAAGTGGCCATCAGTCCTGCTTAGACGTAAGGACTGGAAGTACAGAATGTATACAAAGACCTAACCCAGTCGCTAGTGCTGAAGACCAAGGGCAGCTGATTGCCATCAGTTTTACTGATACACAGCCTTGAAGGAGTCTAGTCAGACAAGAATGTATTCATTCTCTTACCATGTCTGGAACATCCCCTTACCTGTCAACTGCCCAGTGACAGAGGGGCCGACTGTCCTGTGGGGACAAGTAGCTGCAGGCCAGGGAGAGTCCCACGACCCGGATGGAGAACAGTGACCCCAGGTTCTGCCAAGCCAAGAACAGGAAGCAGGTCAATGTGCATGTTGGTGTGAATCAGATGGTTATGTGCAAAGAAGTTACTCAAAAAATGCAACTTTCTGATTAAAGGGTATTTTGAATATGTCCTTAAATAATTGTTTTCTAAACCTGGAGATATAAAGGCTTTAGTTTTTTTAGAAGATATACCCTATACCTTTTAACACAGTAATCTAACACCATGTAACATTAAATTTTCTGAAACAGTGAACATAGTGATTTAAAATAATATTTTAAAAAATAAAATAACACATGGTTAATTGAAGCAAATGTTGGCACAATAAATGGGAAATTAAATCAATTCTGTCCATCAATTATTAATAGGCAATTTATCAAGATGATTATCATCGTCACCAGATTACCAAAGTGAGGCAATTATCTAAAAGCAAGCTAGTGTACATTTTGCTTATCAAATGCTAAGTATTTGTACACATTGAAATAAGCCACATAAAAGAAACGTCACCCATGTTTTTATTCTAAGATGTACATTTTTTTCATATTCTAACTGTTCTGAACTGAAGCGAACCTTGAAAGTAAAAAGTGAAAGTGGAAGTCACTCAGTCGTATCCGAATCTTTGCAACCCCATGGAATTCTCCAGGCCAGAATACTGGAGTGGGTAGCCTTTCCCTTCTCCAGGGGATCTTCCCAACCCAGGGATGGAACCCAGGTCTCCCACATTGCATGTGGATTCTTTACTGTCTGAGCCACCAGGAAAGCCAAGTGAACCTTAAACAGCATTATTTGCAATAGTCAACCGGTAGTAGTAACCCAAGAATCCATCAACATACGAATGAATAAACCAGATATGGTATTATATAAACACAAGGGATTCCCTGACAGCTCAGCTGATAAAGAATCCGCCTGCAATGCAGGAGATTTCAGTTCGATTCCTGGGTCGGAAAGATCCCCTGGGGAAGGGAATGGCTACTCACTCCAGTATTCTGGGCTGGAGAATTCCATGGACTATACAGTCCATGGAGTCTCAAAGACACACACAATGGTATATTACTCAGCCTTAAACAAGTAAATTCAATGCATGCTGCAACATGAATGGATCCTGAAAACATTTTGCTTAGTGAAATAAACCAGATGCAGAAGGGCAAATATTGTATAGTTCTGTTTATATGAGATACACAGAGTGGTCAAATTCATAAAGACAGAAAGTAGAATGGAGGTTCCCACAGGCTAGGTGCTGGGGGAACAGGGAGTTAATAGATATAGTTTTTGTGGGTATGATGAAAAATTTAGGGGGTATAGTGGTGATGGCTATGCATCATGAGGAATACAATTAATGCACACTTGTGAATGGTTAAAATAATTCATAAAGACAGAAAGTAGAATGGAGGTTCCCACAGGCTAGGTGCTGGGGAACAGGGAGTTAATAGGTATAGTTTTTGTGGGTATGATGAAAAATTTAGGGGGTATAGTGGTGATGGCTATGCATCATGAGGAATACAATTAATGCACACTTGTGAATGGTTAAAATTAATGTTACATGCGTTTTACCACAATGTTTTAAAAAAATCAAGTCAGGTGTTGCCTGTATCAGAATTTTGCAGGCCCCACTGACTGCTTGATTGGTTTCTAAAACTGAAATGGCTATAGAGGTGCTGAGGCAAAAGTACATAGGAGACCAGGGGGAGACTAAGAACAGCTGAGTTCAGTGTTTATATGAAAGCAGTTCTGTCCACTTTCAACAGTAAGGAGCACAGGGTTTGGGGAAAGCCAAAGCTATTACTAGATATTCTGACCTACTTAGGGAGAAATTCGAGTTTCTAATTTGGGCAGATCTGCTGGGCAGTTCATGGAGCAAAAACCGTTTGGAGATAAAGATTTGATACAAAGGTAGAAAAGGTCATTAACAAACTGATATTTGGGGTAAATCCTGAGTCAATGTATGGTTTTCCCTGGGAAGGAAAGCACATGAATTATGAATAATTATGAAGAAATCCCTTTGAAATGTTTGGGACATCCTCCAAATGGGAAGTTTGTACTTAGAGAATAATTGGGGGAAAATGAAATTCTGAGGCTACTGAACTGTCCCTAAAAATGTTAAAGTCTTCTGTGCCAAGCAGCCATCAGAACAACTTCTGATACTATTGGGGCTAAAAGGAATGGTTTTAGGGAATTCCCTCATGGTCCAGTGGTTAAGACTTCGTGTTTCCAATGCAGGGGGTGGGGTTCTATCCCTGGATGGGGAATGAAGATCCCACATGTCCCATGGCATGGCCAAAAAATAAGAAATGTTTTTAAAATTTGTTGCTTTTATTTGGAAACTACCAGATTCTACATATGGACATCACCAGATGGTCAATACTGAAATCAGATTGATTATAACTCTTTGCAGCCAAAGATGGAAAAGCTCTATACAGTCAGCAAAAACAAGACCTAGAGCAGACTATGGCTCAGATCATGGGCTCCTTATTGCCAAATTCAGATTTAAATCGAAGAAAGTAGGGAAAACCACTAGACCATTCAGGTATGACCTAAGTCAAATCCCTTACGATTATACAGTAGAAGTGACAAATAGATTAGATCTGATAAACAGAGTGCCTGAAGAACAATGGATGGAGGTTTGTGACACTATACAAGAGGCAGGGATCAAGACCATCCCCAAGAAAAAGAAATGCAAAAAGGCAAAATAGTTGTCTGAGGAGGCCTTACAAATAGCTGAGAAAAGAAGAGAAGGTGAAGGCAGAGGAGAAAAGGAAAGATACACCCATTTGAATGCAGAGTTCCAAAGAATAGCAATGAGAGATAAGAAAGCCTTCCTCAGTGATCAATGCAAAGAAATAGAGGAAAACAATAGAATGGAAAAGACTAGAGCTCTCGTCAAGAAAATTAGAGATACCAAGGGAACACTTCATGCAAAGATGGGCACAATAAAGGACAGAAATGGTATGGACCTAACTGAAGCAGTATTAAGAAGAGGTAGCAAGAATACACAGAAGAACTGTAAAAAAAAAAAAGATCTTCAGGACCCAGATAACCATGATGGTGTGCTCACTCACCTAGAGCCAGACATCCGGAATGTGAAGTCAAGTGGGCCTGAGGAAGCATCACTACGAACAAAGCTAGTGGAGGTGATGGAATTCCAGTTGAGCTATTTCAGATCCTAAAACAGGATGCTGTGAAAGTGCTACACTCAATATGCCAGCAAATTTGGAAAACTCAGCAGTGGCCACAGGACTGGAAAAGGTCAGTTTTCGTTCCAATCCCAAAGAAAGGCAATGCCAAAGAATGCTCAAACTACCGCACAATTGCACTCATCTCACATACTAGCAAAGTAATGCTCAGAATTCTCTAAGCGAGGCTTCAACAGTACGTGAACTGTGAACTTCCAGATGTTCAAGCTGGGTTTAGAAAAGGCAGAGAAACCAGAGATCAAATTGCCAATATCTGCTGGATTATCAAAAAAACAAGAGAATTCAAAAAAAAATCTACTTCTGCTTTATTGACTATACCAAAGCCTTTAACTCTGTGGATCACAACAAACTGTGGAAAATTCTTCAAGAGATCGGAATACCAGACCACCTGACCTGCCTCCTGAGAAATCTGTATGCAAGTCAGGAAGCAACAGTTAAAACTGGAAATGGAACAACAGACTGGTTCCAAATAGAAAAAGGAGTATGTGAAGGCTGTATGTCACCCTGCTTATTTAATTTATATGCAGAGTACATCATGCAAAATGATGGGCTGGATGAAGCACAAGCTGGAATCAAGATTGCTGGGAGAAATATCAATAACCTCAGGTATGCAGATGACACCACTCATGGCAGAAAGCAAAGAACTAAAGAGCCTCTTGATGAAAGTGAAAGAGGAGAGTGAAAAAGTTGGCTTAAAGCTCAACATTCAGAAAAAGAAGATCATGGCATCCGGTCCCATTACTTCATGGCAAATAGAAACAGTGGAAACAGTTACAGACTTTATTTTGGTGGGCTCCAAAATCACTGCAGATGGTGACTGCAGCCGTGAAATTAAAAGATGCTTGTTCCTTGGAAGAAAAGCTATGACCAACCTAGACAGCATATTAAAAAGCAGAGATACTACTTTGCCAACAAAGGTCCATCTAGTCAAAGCTATGGTCTTTTCAGTAGTCATGTATGAATGTGAGAGTTGGACTATAAGGAAAGCTGAGTGCTGAAGAATTGATGTTTTTGAACTGTGATGTCAGAGAATACTCTTGAGAGTCCCTTGGACTGCAAGGAGATCCAACCAGTCCATCCTAAAGGAAATCAGTCCTGAATATTCATTGGAAGGACTGTTGCTGAAGCTGAAACTCCAACACTTTGGCCACCTGATGAGAAGAACCGATTCATTGGAAAAGACCCTGATGCTGAGAAAGATTGAAGGTGAGGAGAAGGGGATGACAGAGGATGAGATGGTTGGATGGCATCACTGACTCTTTGGACATGAGTTTGAGTAAGCTCCAGGAGTTGGTGATGGACAGGGAAGCCTGGTGTGCTGCAGTCCATGGGGTCGCAAAGAGTCAGACATGACTGAGTGACTGAACTGAACTGAACCAGTCTGAGAATCAATAAATGAGCAAGGCATAAAGGTGTTCCTTCTTGGAGTTTTTCATGTGTTTTTCAAAAATTGGACAAAATTATCTGAATATCTATATTCTCATGTATGGACATAAACATCAATTTTAGTTTTCCACAGAAGTAATACTTCAAATCCCTTAAAACTGTTTTTCATTTCTTTTTTTACATTGGAGTATAGCAGATTAACAATATTATGATAGTTTTAGGTGGAGAGGAACAGGAAGCAAATCCATTGAAACTTTTGGTTCAAATGTCTACATTACAGTTTATTACAACAAGTTTCCCTCCAGGAAGAACTATGGGAAGCCACAAACGAATGATGTGAATTCCACTCTTTCTTAGAACCAGTTTAAAAAAAAAAAAATTTACTTGTTTGGCTGTACTGGGTTTCAACTCTGGGATCTTTTCTCCTGGTTGAGGCATGCTAGATCTTCTGCTTCAGCATGGGAACAATTAGCTGTGGTATGTAGGATCTAGTTCCCTGACCAGGGATCAAACCTGTTGCCCCCTGCATTGGGAGAATGGATCCTTAGACACTGAATCAGCAGGGAAGGCCCCAGTGGTGTTTTGAAAGATTTAACAAGCAAAAGCTCCATCTCTGAAATTCTTTGGTAATGTGACAAAGAAAGGGATGGCACAGGTCATGAAATGGTGATTTTTCTTGCATAAAAGTTAAAGTTGTTTGATATAACAATGTGAATGTTGTCATTGATGCGAAATTCTTGTCTCTCCTGAGCTACCACTAGATTCCTACCTCCCCCACCCCCCGCCACCCCACACACACACTACACACACACTGACCTGTATGGGGACCTCGCTCTTCATGAGGTATCGGACTTTGCTGAGAATGCACTGCTGGAGCTGGATCCATGAGATGGCTCTGTCTTCCCTTACCAAGAAAGGAGGCCCAAACCTGGAAATCCAAGTATATGAGGTTATTTCAGCAAAACAAAAACCAATAATACCCAAGAGTCAACAGTGTTGACTCTACTCATTGGCTTCACTCAATTGGATCCCACACACCATGCATCACAGCCAATAAATTAAAAAAAAAAAAAAGTGATGAAACCAGTTATCATTGTTCCTAAAACCAACAGGAAAACCTCAGATACTTAATTGTTAAGCATGGTGTTAGCCATCTGCTGAGGGCCATCACTTCTGATCCTTTGATCAGCAAGCACCTTACACCCTACTCCTTGTGGATCAACCTTAAGAATGGATATGTAATCTTTTTCAAATTAGAATTATTCTAGCTCAAATTCCAAGTACATGTAGACACACCCTAGAAATCATGTGAAAGAAAGACAAAGTTAAACATACCTGCTGGCCTGCTGCCCCGAGCCCACCAAATTACAGAAGAGGATTAGCACCGTGGTCTCATTGTGGACAGGCAGGGATAATCGCTGTCCCTCACGGGCTGCCAAGCGCGGGGAGACCAGCAGACCAGATGGATGAGCTGAAAATCAAGAATTACATTTGTGTTCTTAAAGGAGCTACTATGCTGGGTCAGAACACTGGCTTCTAGCCCCTCTTCTCTTTGAGTATCTATTAACCACCCATGGGAGACACTGGAGGGCTTCAGGGAAAGCAATATTAAAGCTCATGGTATATGTGCCACTGGTGCAAGAAGAGGATCTACACGGTAGTGAACTTGCTGCTTTGTTCAGCCAATTTTAAAATACAGAGATTTTAATACACACTTTTCAAAACCAATCTGAAAAATACACCAAAATGATTTTGGTTGCTTGTATGCTTTGATCAGAGAGCTGTAGAGTTTCTGCTCTCTTAGAAAGCCAACATAAGAAGAACAGAGGGAATGCAAAAATCTTTGTCATTGAGAAAGTAGAAGAATTGGACCATCCTCAATTTCCAATCAGCTCTGAAATTTTACTTTTAAGGCACACACATGTGACCTGTGATTAAATTTGAAATGAGGGCTTGTTTCACTGAGTTATCAAGTAATCAGGGCCTGTCAATGTTTTGTTTCAGGTTCCACACCCAGAGTCTCTCCAGTGACTCAGAGTGACTGCAGATACTTGGTTCGCACAGCCACTCTGCCACATAGGCTGGCCAAGAATCCAGTCGGGGGCAAAGGACTTATCTGCGGAACATGGTGACGCTGGCACAAGGTGCTCTAATATGAGTCTTCTTGACTGGTTAACTGAACCAAAATGTATACTGACCTACAATGAAAGGCTGCCATAAACTGACCATCTTTGCCTATCCAAAGTTTAGGAAAAGTAAACACAGGAAAGTGAGACTGTTAACAAAATGTCATTTAATAACCTCTTTGACCATCTACTACTCTGGTTTATAAGTTTTCTTTTAAATTAATTTATTTTTTACTGAAGGATAATTGCTTTACAGAATTTTGTGATTTTCTGTCAAACCTCAACTCAACATGAATCAGCCATATATAAATATATCTCCTCCCTTCTGAACCTCCCTCCCATCTCCTTTCCCATCCCACTCCTCTAGGTTGATACAGAGCCCCTGTTTCAGCTTCCTGTGCCATACAGTAAATTCCCGTTGGCTATCTATTTTACATATGGTAATTTAAGTTTTCATGTTACTCTTTCCATACATCTCACCCTCTCCCCATGCTCATAAGTCTATTCTCTATGTCTGCTTCTTCACCGTTGCCCTGTAAATAAATTCTTCAGTACCATTTTTCTAGATTCTGTATACATGCATTAGAATACAATATTTATCTTTCTCTTTCTGACTTACTTCACTCTATATAATAGGTTTTAGGTTCATCCACCTCATTAGAATGGACTCAAAGGTGTTTCTTTTTATGGCTGAGTAACATTCCATTGTGTATGTATACCACAACTTCTTCATCCATTCATCTGTCAATGCACATCTAGGTTGCTATAACTTTAAGCACTGACCTTGAACCATAAGACTCCTGAAGACAAAGATTACTCCAGTACCCATTCTGAATGAAAGTGAGTTGCTCAATTGTGTCTGACTCTTTGTGACCCCATGGACTGTAGCCTACCTGGCTCCTCCATCCATGGGATTTTTCAGGCAAGAGCACTGGAGTGGGTTGACATTTCCTTCTCCAGAGGATCTTCCATACCCAGGGATCGAACTCATGTCTCCTGCATTGTAGGCAGATGCTTTACCATCTGAGCCACAAGGCAAGTCCCATTCTGAATAGTGGTTCTCAAAACATGGTCCCAGGACCATTATCACCAGAGTTTATCAGACAAGTAATTTCTCAGGCCCCACCCCTGGCCTACTGAGTCAAAAGCGCTGTGGGTAGGGTTCAGAAATCTACTTAAACAAGCTCTCCAGATGATTCTGATACTAAGGTTTTGAAAATTCCTGTATTAGTTGACTGATTTTTAATAATGAATCATCTGTAAAACAAATATCAGAGAAAATAAGCCTGATATTTCCAAGTACTAAAACTGAATGTCTTATGCCTTAGCACCCAGTAGGTATTCTCTCAAACCTATAATTCATAATATCCAAATAAAATTTTGCAAAGCACTACTGTACCTGAGAGCATCTCCTGCCCAGGTGATGGGGGAGCTTGGAAGGCATAGACATTATCTCCTTCTGCAATAGTATTCAGGTCCTCTTCATCAAAGAAAGACCGCTGGAGTCCACTGGGATACAGTTCAACCAAGATCACCTGGAATGAAAAGGATCATTTTCCCTTTGTTTCTCAAAGGGAACTTAACAAAGAAGCAGTCTAAAAATGACCAATTGCCTGAAACCTCTCTTCTACATTTTCCTTCCAAGTGGTTACTTATTTTTTGTAATATAACACTAGGTGCATCAGTCAGACTAACACAGACTTGGATCTCAGCCACAACAACAGAATATCAAAGTGCCAAAGGAAGAGTGGGGAGAAGAAAATTGAAAAGCTTAAGTTTTATACCCAGCTAAACTATCCTGATAGAATGAGCCTAAAATGAAGCCCACTTCAGATAAACAAAAATTGAGAGTGTTTCCCACTAACTGATCTCCACTTAAAAAACTTCTAAACAGTATTGCCAACTTTTTTCACATTGTATCAGACACGGGAAATATTTTTATGGAACACTGAGGTGAGTGGAAAAGGCTGGTTTTGTAGTGGAGGAGATGGGTGACTACTGCTTTGAGCGTCCTGGCTACCCCCAGATCCAACTCTGTCCCCTCAAGTGTGGAGGGAATCAACAACTGAGCACACAGACACACATCTTTCCCTTCATCTGAGATCTTTATTAAAATAGTGAGAAAGGTCAGAGGAATTGATTGGGTAGAAGCAGGAAGAAGCCCACTGGGGTGATAGAAAGCTTCTGTTATCATGGTGGTTACACAGATATACACACATGTAAAAAGTCCACAAGTTAAGTTATAACCTTAAGATGGACACTTTCTTATATCCATTCCCTTCTGTAACCAAAAGGTTAAAAATATTTCTTAATTAGAAAAAAATCTCATGAGGTCACCAAGTCACCAATTTTACACCAATGGAAGTATATAATTTCCATTTTATAGTCAAAGAAACAGAGGACCAGGACTTCCCTGGAGGTCCAGTAGTTAAGGCTGTGTGCTTCCAAGACAGGAGGCATGGGCATGAGCCCTGGTCAGGGACTAAGATCCCACATGCTGCATAGTGTGGCAACAAATTTTTTTTAATTAAAAAAAAAAAAACAACAAACTAAAGAAAGAAGCAGGGGACCGATTACTTTGTCCAAGGTCCGAAAACTAGAAAGGGACTGAATTACAGTTAGAACCCCATTTTGAAGCCTTCCCTTGTTGCTTTTCACCACCATCCCTTCTACCCCATCCTTTCATGGGAGACCCTATTATGAGTCTGCTCACCAAAGTCGCAGTGAATCCAAACTCTTTACCAAGACACTAAAAAAAAAATAAGCAGAGCACACCCATCCCACTGTCCCCAAACCACCTCTCTCATGTACTCATCCCAAGCTCCTCTTCAGTCTCCTGGTTTATATTCTCAGCAGTGAGAATACAGAATTAGTGCTTCAGGTTCTGAAATCACTATCTGCATTCAAACCCTGGCCCAGTCGCTGAGCTTGTGTCACACTTGCCTAGTGCTCACTGGTAAAATGAGGATAATTGTAATATCTGCCTCACAGGATGACGGTGGGGAGAAACTAGCTATAAAGTTCACAGAGTGGTGCTCAGCACTTAAGAAGTACTGCTGAGAGTCAGCTATTGTTGAAAGGATGATGATCGTCATCATCGTCACCTTTTTGGAAGACAAAGGTGATTTCCTTTCCGGGTTATTCCGTGAAAAAGCAGGGAGCGGTCTAGGCCCAGTCATCACAGACATCAGGGACTATTAATCAAACAGTAACTCATGAGTCACATCGGAGTCACTGAGAGCCAAAAATCAGCCTAAACAGCCTAGACAGCTGGCGCAGTTAGTATCCCTCATCCCATGCCCAGGTCCCCCATCACACCTCCTCTGGAGAGATGCCGCCTTCCTCTGCAACCATCTTCCTCAGGGCTGCCACTGTGCTCAGGATCGGCACGGCCAGGCCCACCCGCAGGAACCGCTGGCTCTTGGAGGGGAAGACCAAGGTGACGCTCAAGAATCTGGAAAATAGGAAGGAGGCCACATCCTTAAAGGACGGACATGGGCTGTCACCAACATCACTGACACTAGACCAAGTTTAGCACTTGGGCAAATCTCGGCTTCCTGGTCGGGTCATTGCCCTTTAAGTTCGTTGTCACCAGGCAGCAGTGGAGAGCCAATTCCCCAAGGGTCTCAGTTCTGTGCACTTTTCCAGCGACTTATAAATAAAAGACATTTGATTAAGAATCACAACACACACACACACACAACACAGGTCTTCCTCAACTTACGATGGGATTACATCATTATAGCTTAAAGTATCTTAAGTCAAAAATGCATTTAATACACCTAACCTATCAAGTATCATAGCTTAGCCCTCCCCACTTTAAACATTCTCAGAACACTTACATTTGCCCACAGTTGGGCAAAATCATCTAACATAGAGCCTTCATGATAATAAAGTTTTGAATTGCCCCTGTAATTTACTGAATACTGTGCTGAAGGTGGAAAACAGAGAGGTTTTAAGTGTATGGTTGTTTACCCTCATGATCACCAGGCAGGACTGGGAGCTGTGGTGCTGCCCTGCCCAGAGAGGACCATACCTCACATTGCTTGGCTGGGAAAAGATCAAAATTCAAAATGCAAAGCACAGTTTCTACTGAATGCACATCGCTTTCATACTATTGTAAAATCAAAATATTGTACATGGAACCATCGTAAGTCAGGGACCATCTGTTCCAACCTATGGTCTCAAGATTCTACTTGCTATATAGATAATCTAAAGCAAAAAGAAACTTTGAAGTCTGAAAAGTAGAGCAGTCAAGCTTCTCCCTCCAGGACAACTGAACACTACTGACAAGGCTCCCCTTTTCCTCCTGAAGTTATTTCTCCCTTGTGATGGAGTACAACCCTTTTGCTCCCCAACTTCTTTGGACTCTCTCTAGTTCCACTGTCTACTACACCCAGCAGCACACCAGGGCTTACCCCTCCAACGCCTGTTTCCCCTGCTCTCTACTACAGTAATAATCTAATCCATACAAATAATTAGCAGAGCTGGGACTTGAACCCAGGCAGTCTGGCCCCAGTCAGTGGTCCTAACCATTGTGCTATGCTGCATCTGACCAGGAATCAGAGCTCATATCTATCAGTGGCCATCATATCATGATAGGATAAGCCAGTTATTAATATATTTATGGCACTGACAATCAGCAGCACAGGAATTCAGAGTAGGAAGGGGGGTTCAGTTGCCAGGAAATGCATTATAAAGCCATCAGTCTTCACCACATCCTAAAGATGAAGGATATCAACAGACTGAAGGCAAGAGATAAGATTTTGTAAAGCGGGGGAACCCAGAGAAGAAATGCCCCATATAGGAATTCACTAAGCTTCCATGTGGTTGACATTGGCGGTGGCCTTAACAGTCCCTGCCAAGACCTGGGCTTCTGGGATGCTTGTGCTATATGCTTCTTCCTTTTGCAGAGCCAAGCTTCATCATGTCTCCTACCTAATCCTGCCTCCTCTTTTCTTTTTTTCTCATATCTCCCAATAGTCCTTTTCCTTTTCCTTTGCTCCTTAAATAAACCTTTTTATACACCTTCCCCAAGAGGAGAAAGGATCTGGAAATAAAGCTAGGGAAAGCAGAGGAAGACAAGTTTTCTCTGGTTCACCTCTGTCTGTTTGAGTGGTATAAACTGGCCCATGCCAGCTTCTAAATTGGCCAAAGATGGAAGCCGGGCAATGGGGCAGATAAACAAAAGCATGTTTATAATTCCTTCTTCAGCTAAAGAAGGAACTCAGTAACCTTTCATGTTAATCATCCCATTAGGTCACTGGATGTCCCCAAGAAGCAAGGCTTGGCTGAGAAGCAAAAGAGAACTTTGCAGCTGCAGGGCCCAGAGGTTCCAAAGGATGGATGTCAAGTTCACCTGCATGATGCTCACGTACCTCGTCTGGCGCAGAGGGATGGGCAGGGACACGCACAGGAAAGGGTCGAAGGTGTTGCTCTGTTTCAGGCAGTGGGGACAGGTTAAGGAAGATCTGTGAGGGTGGAGGATACACATCAAAGTTGAGTCGCAACTTGAACAGTTGGGCAGTTTCTCGAAGAGTTACAGTCACCTTTGCAATTTCTCTGCTACAGCCATACCACAAAGAATTGAAGATTGGTATTCAAATCTTTATGTACAAAGGTTCAGACAATGTTATTCACAATAGCCAAAGGGTGGATACAACTCATGTGTCCATTAATGGATAAATGGATAAACAGGATGTGTTATAGACACACAATGGATTATTACTCAGTCCTGAGGTCCTCATACTTGTTACATAAATGAACCTTGATAACATCATATGAGTAAAAGAAGCCAGACACCAAAGGCTACATAATTTATGATTCCATGTATATGAAATACCAGAGTGAATAAAGCCACAGGGAGAGGATGCAGATTGGTGGTTGCCAGGTAACGAGAGGAGGGAGATCTGGGGAGTGGCTGCTTCATGAGTACCAGGTTTTCTTTTGGGGTGATGAAAATGGTTACCAACTAGAAAAAAATCAGTGGTTGCACAACATAGTGGGTGTACATGCTGCTGAACTACAAATTTAAAATGCTTAATTTTATGTTATATGGCTCTCAACTCAATTTCTTAAAAAGGAAAAAGTTTAATCATATGTATGGGGATTGCCCTGGTGGTACAAAGGCTAAGACTCTGCTCCCAATGCAGGAGGGTGGGCCTGTGTTCAATCTGGTCAGGGAACTATATGCCACGTGCTGCAACCAAGACCCAGCACAGCCAAATAAATAAATAAATCTTAAAAAAAGAAAAAACAGACCAGAGCACAAACCGGAGTATTTAATGTTCAATCACTCTCTGCCTCTGATAAATTTCCCTTTGGGAAAAGCATGGCAATGCTGTAGTAAAAAGGATGCACCAGGCATAGAGGGCCAGCCAGCAGGGGGACCTGACATTTGTGGGGACTCCTCTGCCACCCTGTTTCTCTCCCTCCCTCCTCCCAACCTCACCCATCACATACTGTGGCATACCATAGACCTGAAAGATGTACTTTGTCATTGGGAAATTTCCAAACCCGTTTCACATTTAAGCAGACCAATGAGACAGAATGTTTTTCTTTGACTTACTCATTTTTTTTAAATCTATTAAAACTAAGCGAGACCGAATTTTTCTTGCAGATGCGCCCTAGTCAACCAATCCAGGGACATGGCCTTTAGGTGGAGCCGTGAATCTCTGACAGGGAGCAAGAGATGCATAGTTTGGCAAAAACATAGAATGGCCTAATTTTGTATTTAAAGAATAAAGAAAGCATATTATTTTCACAATAAACCAGAAAGAGGACGTGAGCGGCACCTGTTCCTCAAAGGATGAGAAATGAGGATGATGAGTTTGACCAACAGATCGGGGGAGAGGGTAGCATCACTTTCACAGAAAACTCCAAGGGTTACGAGGCTCCAGCTACACCTCAGATGTGGCCTGGAGGGGTCCTTTCGTCCTTGCCATCCCCTCCAGTGCATCATGGTCCTGTCCTACCGTCTCCCAGGTACTCACAGGAGAAAGGACAGAAAATCACCCCAACGCCCTTCACTGTTCACTCGCCCATCTTCCCCAAGCTATTCAACCTCTCTGTCCAATTGCTTCTGTTCCAAAACCAGCCTCTCATCTGCCGCTGGAACTCAGGACTGCTATCTGCCCTCCATGGGTTACAAATGCCCCAAAACGACACTGCTCGTTTCACACCCTGGCCTCTCGCTGCCACTGAATATCCATCTGACACCTCCCACCTAGCCAGCTTCACCTGCTCGCTAGCTGGTGAGATGGATGTTCGCACCGGCAATGGTAATTAAGACAATGCACAAGCAAGATGTCACCTCTTCAAATCTGCGATCTGAAAAACGCTTCTAAAACATACTCTGCCTAAAAGGGAATGCCACCTGTAATGGGAACCAGATTAGGATTTCCATGAACAAAAGCTCTGAATGCCATGGAGAGAGGAACGCGCACATACACACACACACACACACACGCTGCCTCCTCTAGCCAAAACTCCAACATAGCAACAATCCTTGACTATTAAACTTGCAGATGTTTTCAAGCCATGATAATAATTGTATAGAATAACCAATTATTTGTCCTCCAGTCCAGCGGTCCTGGACCTTTTTGGCACCAGGGACCAATTTTGTGGAAGACAATTTTTCCAAGGGAAAGGGGTAGGGGGAGGGATGGTTTGGGAATGATTCAAGAGCATTACATTCACTGTGCACTTTATTTCTATTCTTATTACATCAGCTCCATCTCAGATCAGCAGGGATTAGATCCCGGAGGTTGGGGTACCCCCGCTCTAGCCTACAACCTCCAGCACCCTAATACTATTCTCCCTTTCCTCCTCCAGCCAAAGGCAAAACCTCAGCCCCCCTAAAAAAGGGAGAGCAAGGGGAGATATAGGGAGAATTTCAGTGAGCAGGGGGCCTCTGGACTAACCCGTAATAGCACTTCCAGCTTTTGGTTTCACAAAGAAGACTGATACCAGAGGGCATCCTCCCCAGGAAAGGAAACTGAAGAGGGTCCAGATCAGCAAGGACCACACCCAGGGATTCCAGCCTGAACTGGCACCCACTGATGGCTGCGGAAAACCACTGCTCAGACCTCAAAAGCCCTAACCTAGATGGATGTCCCTAATGATATTTTTTTTCTTTACTCTGGACCAGAAGGCAGAAAACAGCTATTTTTAGCAGTTACCAATCCTTTTTTTTTTAGCATGACTATCTTGCTTCTTACTCATCCTTCTACAGCAATCGACCCAAAGGGTGCTTACAGTCCTTAGTATCGAATCAGCTCAAATGTCACTTCTTCAGGAATCTGTCCCTGACTCACATTTTACCTTGTGACACTGTGATTTATAAAAAATATATATTTATGTTGAAAAGTATGTATATTCCTGGCAAAGAGCTCCTAAAACCCTTGGAATTTCCTAAGTGATGAGAGCAGAAATAAAGGTAAAATGAGCATCTTTTGCTATTCATAAAAAATCCCATACAACCACTCCTGAGTTTATGCTAAAACCACAGGATAGGGGCTGGTTTTCAAAGGAACCCAGCACAGGATGAGGACTTTCAGCTCCACGTGCTAGCTCCACGCTAGGACTCTAAGCTCAGCTAAGAACCCACATGCTGCGGAGGCGTGGCCAAAAAAAAAAGTAATGTAAAGGGAAACAAGAGATTTTTTTCCTCTTTCACACTCATAACATGCACTTCAAAACTCCCCCAATTTTTCCTTCAAAGCACCTGCCAGTTATACAACTATGTAAAACCCCAGGAGTCACCCTAGATGTTCACAGTTCCCTTGGTCCCTCCCCCTCTTACCCTTAAACCCACTGGCAAGTCCTGTTGACTACATCCTAAACCTGTTCCCCATCTACCCACCCTTTTCCCTCCATCTCCATCACTACCAGTCTCCATCATTCTCCCACTGGGAGGACAGCACATCAGCTGTTATCCAGCTCGCAGTGCTGCCTCCCTTCATCACCAAAACAACTAATTTCTTTCTTTCTTTCTTTGTTTTTATGGCCGCAGGCCACGGCAGGTGGGATCAGATCCCCTATCAGGGATCGAACTCGTGCCAAGTCCAGTGAAAGCTCAGATTCTTAACCACTGGACAGCCAGGGAAGTCCCAAGCAGCCAGTTTCTTAAATGGATCATTAGACCACACACAGCCTTAAACTTCGAAGTGGTTTCCTACGGCCCTTAGGCTACATACAACCCACACTACCAGGTGCCCATTCACCTCTCCAGCCTCACTTCTCCCCACCCTTCACTACTTGGCAGCTCTCTGTTCCTTGAACTTGGATTGTCTCCACCCCAGACCCTTTGCTGCTTTTTCTGCCTGGAATACCCTGTCCCCAAGTTATCTGAATGGCCGGCTTCTTGTCACTCAGCTTGCAGCTCGAATGTCCCCTCTGAAAATAAGCCTCACCTGATCACCTTATCTAAGGTCAGCTGCCTCCCCAACCTCCCAGGTTATCATTTCACTCATTGTTATCACAGATTGTTGCACCTTATGTGTGTATTAAGTCCCTTCCCAGGTGGCGCTAGTGGTAAAGAACCCACCTGCCAATGCAGGATACATAAGAGACGCGAGTTTGATCCCTGGGTTGGGAAGATCCCCTGGAGAAGGGCACGGCAACCCACTTCATTATTCTTGCCTGAAGAATCCCATGGACAGAGGAGCCTGGCCAGCTACATTCCAAGGATCGCACGGAGTTGGACCCAAATGAAGTGGCTTAGCAGGCACGTATGTGTACTGTCTAACACCTTTCCCAATAGATGCTTTCAAACTGTGATGTTGGAGAAGACTCTTGAGAGTCCCTTGGACTGCAAGGAGATCAAACCAGTCAATCCTAAAGGAAATCAACCCTGAATATTCACTGGAAGGACTGATACTGAAGCTAAAGCTCCAATACTTTGGCCACCTGATGCAAAGAGTTGATTCTTTGGAAAAGACCTCGATGCTGGGAAAAATTGAGGGCAGGAGAAGAAGGGGATGACAGAGGATGAGATGGTTGGGTAGCATCACTGACTCAATGGACATGAATTTGAGCAAGCTCCAGGAGACAGTGGAGGACAGAGGAACCTGGCGTGCTACAGTCCATGGGGTCGCAAAGAGTTGAACACGACGTAGCGTCTGAACACAACAACCCCCAATAGAATGTTAGTTGATAAGAACAGTGGCTGGGGTGTGTTCACAGGTCAAGTCTCAGCACCTAGAAGGAGGCATGGCAGAGTCTATATAAGTTTATATTTTTTATATCCTTCATTATGCTGGGAAATCTTGAACTCCAAATAATGTGTTAGACTCAGCTCTCTGGTAATAAAGAACAAATCAGAAAGATCTCACCCACTTCTCAGCAATGGCCTGAGGAGATCCTAGGCCTTCACATTCATGTTATACAGAACCATCTTCACCAACAGCCCTCCTTCAAGGCGGGGTGGGAGGCCCAGGATCCAGCAAGAAAGGAAAGAAATACTGAAGGTCGGAAACAACAGGAGTAAGTGCTTAACTGTGATCAATAATGGGGAAGACAAGGGAGCTTATGGTTTCTGTTGTTTTACAATCTCAGGGTAAACCTAACAATGGGAGGCTAGTTACCAGCATACAAGTTTGCTGAAGGCTTAGGCAACACATTTTAAACATACCCCATTCTTACCTGTATTGTGCTTGGAAGTGGCTTTGCACAAAGCTTTGGCCCACAGAAAGCTGAGCCGATGGTGACAGAAGGTTCTCAGAGGTCCTCCTGACTTCAGGTTGAAGCTGCAAAGAAATGAGGGGAGGAAACAAAATTAGCCATGCCTCCCATCACTCCACTGCATCCAGACCAACGAGACTCCACCTCCTCCTGGGTCCACAGCATCCCTTTCTGGGACTAGACCTGCAGAACCAGGCTTTCCATGTCGCTGACCATCATCTACTGCTCCTTCAACACCTGGACCTCCCCAGTTCCCTGAGAGAGTGACAGAGAAAGGAAAGAGACAGAGGTAATGTGTGTGTGTGTGTGTGTGTTGAAAGAGCACGAACCTTGGTGAACACTCACACACACTACCCCAGCCCCAACCATTACCTCTGGATTAACAAACCCATTCCTTACCCCCATGCTTCTAGGAACCCTGTGTCTAAATGTTTCCTGTACATTTCACTTGGATGCGCTGTCATCACTTCAAACACACCCACACCAAATCTGACCATCTCCCACCTCCTAAACCGTTCCTGAACATATTTTCCAGTGAGCCAGTCTTCACGTAAACATCATCTTTCTCAGACAAAACAGGTTTGTATCTCAGAATAATGAATGCGTCAGCCTCCTCCCACCACACTCTGTCCTACTATATCCTTCTCTGAACTGCCTTACGTATGAGTGTCCCACTGTGGCTGTAATAAATGGCCACAAATGAGTGGCTTCAAACAACAGAAATGTGTCCTCTCGTAGATTTCAAGACCAGACATCCAAAATCAGGGACTTCCCTAGTGGTCCGGTGGCTAAGACTCTGAGCTCCTGATGCAGGACACCCGGGTTCAATCCCTGGTCAGGGAACTAGACCCCATATACCACAACTAAAAGATTCCATGTGCTGCAACTAAGACCTGGTGCAGCCAAATAAATAAACAGATATTTAAAAAATAAAAAGGAGGGAGGGACTCAATCAAGGCACCTTGTGTGACACCCTATGTGCACAGCTCATAACTGAGCAGCTGATGGAGGAGGAGAGGAGACAGAGGAAGGGGTACATAGGGTCAGCTCCAAGCTTCCGATCTGGTGCCTGGAGAGCCTCTGATCCATTAACAGAAGTGTGTGCGTGCTCAGGGGTGTCCGATTCTTTGCGACCCCATGGACTGTAACCCGCCAGGCTCCTCTGTCCATGGGATTTCCCAGGCAAGAATACTGGAGTGGGCTGCCATTTCCTTCTCCAGGGACTCTTCCCGGCCCAGGGATCGAACTCTCATCTCCTGCATTGGGAGGCAGATTCTTTATCACTGAGCCACCAGGGAACCCCATTAACAGAACAGGAAATAGCAACAGGAGAAAGGGGAAGTTGAGGGAGGGGAGAGCAAGCCAAGTTCCAGGAACAGACACTGAAGGACAAGGGAATGAAGGGCTCGGAGGAGAGAGAACGTGGATACAGAGCAGACACAGGCATTTGGGGCTGCCCAGGACTGTCTCCTCTTCACTGAGAGTAGCCCTCAGTTTGGGAACATTTAATTCAGTCCAGGGGTAGGGGGCAAGGCTCTTTCATTGGGGGTCCCGTCCTTCCTCACCAAAGAGACAGGCACATGACTCAAGCAAGATGGATGAGATGTGATGTTCCTGCCCTGCATGTTGATCACAGGCAGACTCACCCACAGGCTGAAAACTGCAACTTCGGCAGAAGTGTCCAAGCCAGAGGATTGAGCCATTCCTGCCACTGACACCCCCACCCCAGTGCTGTCTGGCTTGGGACAGTTCCCAGCCTGGTCTTCAGCCTTCATTTTCATTCCACCCTTCACCCTTCACCTCCATTCTCCACTCTTCTGCCCTTGGCCTTCCCCTTTTTGTTTGAGTTGGCCGATTGGCTGCCGTTCCTCACAACCAAAGACCTCTCAGTGACCCAGGCTGCTTCTCCATCAGGATGATGGGGCAGCGGGACTTCCCTGACAATCCGGTGGTTAAGACCTTACAATGCAGGGGGTTCGGATTTGATCCCTGGTTGGGGAGCTAAGATCCCACATGCCTCACAGCCAAAATAACTAAAACAGAAGCAATACTTTGAAAATGGTCCACGTTAAAAAAAATAAATCTAAAAAAGATGATAAGGCAGCATGCATTGGAAGTGGCTGCAGACAGGACCGTCCAAGGATGGGTATGTGAAGAGGAAATTCCAAACGAGTCTGGGGTGAGAGGCAGTGGAGGATCACTCATAAAGCATGGTCTATCAGCCCAGCCGGACCAGGCTGGGGCTACCCTGCTAGCTGAGTGATCCTGACTATCTCCCTGAGCCTTGTTACACACCTAAAAGGAACAAACAGGAGCTCAGGGAGTCATCGTTTAAATAAAAAGAGACGAGGGTATACTGCCTGGCACATAGTAGGTGCTTAATAGATGTTAGGTTCCTGGTCCTCTTCCCAGCCTCAGTCCTTTCTTAATTCTGCAAGACTGGCGTTTTCTGTGAGATAAACTGCCTGAAAGATTGCTGGTGTCACACTGTCCACGGGATAGTAAAAAGACGCCCTATTCACCAGATGAAAACATTTATTGTTACATTAACAGAGAAGAAAGTGGTCCTCATGTTTCCTATTCTGGTTTCAAATAAATTGAGCTACATGGCTTTCATATATTTGAAACAGAAATAGCCTCAGAAAGAAAAATTGTTCAGAGGTACACAGGGGACAGGCCCTTTCCTTCTTGGAAAGCGAAAATGAAGTTTGTGCCAGATAGTCCAACGGCTCTGCTCTTTTACCTTCAAGCATCCCTCTGCAGGCAGCCCGATTTTCTGAGAGCAAGTTTCAGGAGGGGCTTTGACTCCAGACAGAGAAAAGATCTTTCCTGGTTTCAATCAGGTCAGATGAAGAGCAGGCCAAGCTCCTCTCTCCAGCCAACAGCCAGCCATGGTCTTGTTGGGTCGTGGGTGCCTTCTTGACACCCTTGGCCATTAAAGGAACAGAAAGCAGCCAGCGTGACTGAGAATCATGAGTGAGGGGCAGAGGGGCCTGAAACCAGGCAGAGATGTTGGTGGGTCAGCCAGTTAGGGCCCCGTCAGCTATATAGGAGTCTGGATTCTGTTATAAGCGCAATAGGGAGCTGCCGAGGGAATTAAAGCAGGAGGGTGATGCGATCTTATTTCCCTTCTGAAAAGATCCCTCTGGCTGCAGCATGAGGAACACACAGTAGTGGGGCACACTGGAAAATGCAAGACCAGTTAGGGCTGCTTTTATGTGGGTCTTGAAATTGTAACAAATTATTGACTTAAATAAACTCACTGTCATTGTAAAGAAAGGTGTGAGGTGGTGCACTGTGGTTGGGAACAAGGCTCCAGAGCAGAGTTCTCAATGAGGGGGATGCTTTCGTCTCTCCTCCAGGGGACATGTGGCCATGTCTGGAGACAGTTTTGGTAATCAATCACAATTATGGATGCCACCAGCAGCTGCTGGGTAAAGAAATGCTACAAATGTTACAATGCACAGGAGAAACCCCCACTCACCTATGATTACCTGGTCTTCTGTCAAAATTGCTGAGGCTAAGAAGCCCTGTTCTAAGAGTCGAATTTTCTAGCTTTGCAACCTGGCTCTCCTACTGGCTTGCTGTGTGACTTGGGGCAAGTTACTTAACCTCTCTGTGCTCTCCCCAACCTCTATGGGGTGCTTTGCCTGCCACCAAAGGACAAAAGAGAACGATCGAAAGGTAACTGGGAAGGCTGTTTATCCCTCTTACTTGCCAGGTAGGAAGTGCTGACTGGCATAGGCAGGGAGTGGGGAGAAGGAGGGGGGAAATGGGACAAGAAGCCTTTTCTTTTTTTTTCTTTTTTGGCCACATGGCTTGTGGAATTTAGTTCCCTGACTAGGGATCGAACCTGTGCCCCCTGCAGTGGAAGCACAGAGTCTAAACCACTTGACTGCCAGGGAAGCCCCAGGATGGTTCTTTTTAAAATAAGACAACAGGCTTTCAAGCTAGACTCCCCTTGGACTTGAATCCTGACTCTGTCACTTCTTAAGCTGTGCTGCTTCAGGAAGGTTACACAGCCTGTCTGATTCTTGGTTTACCCATATGTCAAATGGGGATAATAACTCTTGTAACACTCCACAAATGACAGTAGCTATTCATACTGTGTATAACACTCCAAGATGTGCTCTGAAAAGTACAGAACAGGGTACAATCACTATCTTCCCTGTCCCATGCATTTGGCAACCTGCTGTCTCAGACAGAAGAACTCTTTCTGCAGCTCTGTCAAGCTCTTAGCTTCTACATTATACTGCGGTTTAAAAGAGTTTATTCAAGACATATATGGTGATGCTCTCCTTAAAGCTGCAACTTGTCACTTTAAAAGAAAAAGAAACAGAGACGACAATCGGCTGTGCAGACAAGTTAAAGGAAAAAGCTGACTCGGCTTCTTGAGCCATTTTATTTTTAAATAAACACTGTATGTATTTAAGGAGTGCAACATGATGGTTTGATACACACTGAGGTAGTGAAATAATCACTTCAGTCAAACCAATAAACATATCATCTCCTCACATAGTTACCTTCTTGTGTGTGTGGTGAGAGGACCTAACATCTACTCCTAGCAGATTTCCAGCACTCAATATGGTGTTATTAATTAGTCACCATGCTGCATGCTAGGTATCTAGATTCATTCACCCTACAAAACTGACTGCCATTCAATCTCTCCCTCATTTATTTATTCATTTTAGTAAGTATAGTTTATTTACAATGTTGTGTTAATTTCTACTGTACAGCAAAGTGATTCAGTTATATATATATATATATATATATATATATACACACATTCTTTATTGTATTCTTTTCCCTCATGGTTTATCACAGGAATATTGAATACAGGTCCCTATGTTATACAGTAGGACCTTGTTGTTTATCCATCTGCTATTCCCAAACTCCCAATGTATCCTTTCCCCAGCCCCCCTCCCCCTTGGCAACCACCTGTCTGTTCTCTATGTCTGGGAGTCTGTCTGTTTCATCAATAGGTCCATTTGTGTACATTTTAGCATCTCATCTTTATTACTCTAGAATAATACTCTCTGAGCAGGTAGTGTAAAGATGGAAGAGTAACAGGTGAAAGATTGAAACACTTAAAAAGGGCTTTTTAATTGATTCACAAGAGGGATGGGAAAAAATGGTCCGGACATAAAACAAACAAACAAACAAAACAAGTAAAGCAGTTCTTGTAGCTGGTTCTGATCTGGATCAGTTTTGGGTCACATCAAAAATAATGTGCGACTGATTCATTACCAAAGCTTGTAAAACATTTTTTAAATTATAATGGATTATTCATGGATATTGTTTTGATAACTTTGCTCACTCATGGTATAATAAATTTACTCACTTTTCCTTTCTTAAGTGAGAGATAAAAGGATAGAACCCAATATTGATCTTTATTTAGCAAAGACACAGAGACTATAACTGATGTATTAACTGACTGTGGCTATTACAAATGATCGTAGGGCTTTCTTACTCCCAAAGGCTTGAGGTTTCGTCCAAATCTGGGAATGCTGAGGGCACACATGAAAAGATCATCCATCCTGCGTCTTGAGAAAAATGATTGGGAATCACTTGCTCTGCAGGATAAGTAACTGAGAAAGCAAAGCTAAAATGGTAGCATTTGAAAATAGTAAGCAATACCACCAATGGCCTCAGAGGACCATACTAAGGCATAGGATACAGATGAAAAGGAAAACTTTTTTTTTCGAGCTTTAAACCAAACAGAAACCCGATTCACTGAATCGCTGGGATTAAAGAGGATGAGGAATAGCAATGGGAGGAAACGTCTGGTCTAAAACAAACGGGGCAAAGAGCAAGGCGCGGGGAATGGTACTGTGTGAGCAGCAGCCAGAATACACAAAAATCTACAGAGCTGAATCTCAAGATTTAGTTTTGAGTTGAATAAATGTTCAAGGGAAAAAACTAAAATTGAACACAATGTGTTTTTCGAGGGTGACTGACCTTGTCAGACTCCGGCCCTCGGGAGGAACCCTCCAAGTCCTCGTGTACGCGATCCAACAACCAGAGCAGGAACTCCAGGGCATCGTGCTGGGCATTGCCTTGGAACTGAGTGCCGTACTTGGAGACTGCATTCTGAAGGAACAGAGAAAAACCAGAGGGGCAATGTGGGCTTTCCAACAGCCAACTACATATATCTCCACTCTTTGTAACGTTCTTTTCCCATAAAGGTCATTACAGGGTATTGAGTAGAGTTCCCTGTGCTGTACATTTCTGTCCTGTATATAGATTCATTTGTATAACTTTTTAGATTCCACATATACATGATATCATATAGTATTTGTCTTTATATTTCAAGAAGCCCACTCACTCAGTCGTGTCTGACTTTGTGACCCCCCCCATGGACTGTAGCCCCCAGGCTTATCTGTCCATGGATTTCTCCAGGCAAGAATCCTGGAGTGGGTTGCCATTCCCTTCTCCAGAGGGTCTTCCCAACTTGGGGATGGAACCCGGGTCTCCTACATTGCAGGCAGATTCTTTACCATTTAAGCCAAGGAAACTCACTAACACATAAGTGATACCATATAGTATTTTCTTTGTCTGACTTATTTTACTAAGCATAATATTCTCCAGGTCCATCCCTGTTGCTGCAAATGGCAGTATTTCATTCTTTTGGTTTTTTGGCTGAGTAATATTCCATTGTCTGTTTCTATTACATCTTTTTTTATTTACTTATTTTATCACGCTGGTCTTCACTGGGGCACGTGAACTCTTAGTTGGAGCATATGCAATCTAGTTACCTGACCAGGGATCGAACCTGGGCCACCTGCATTGGGGGTGGGGAATCTTAGCCACTGAACCTCCAGGGAAGTCCCCATACCATATCTTCTTAATCCAATTGTCTGTTGATGGGCACTTAGTTTACTACCATGCATTGGCTATTGTAAATAGTGCTGCTATGAACAATGGGGTGAATGTATCTTTTCAAACTAGTGTTTTCTTTTTTTTTCTGGAAATAGACCCAGGAGTGGGATTGCTGGATCATGTAGTAGAATGTTTTGATATACATGATTATCTCTCTTGCCTGAAGCTCTGGTCCTTGTAGTGCTGCGGCCCATGTTCCCCTGCCCCCATTAGTCTATTTCCGCACTGTCTCTCTCTGCTCATCCCATAGGTGGACAGCTTCTGGCCCTGCTCTCTCAGCAGTTGTTTCCTTCATTCCCAAGGTGTCAACTCTCGAGATTGACCACATGACCCAGTGAAGTGGAATTCCTTAAATACCACACCTGTGGTTCCTTCACTGCCTCTTCCTAAAATGAATGGAATTTGAGAAGTCCGAACTTCTTCTGTGGTTAGATCACAAAATGTGAGAGCCAATCCTTCATCCATCCCTTTAATAAATAAGTGTTTGTTGAGTGCCTCCCACAGGCCAGGCACTAGTCTAGGGCCTGGGGTTCCAAGGGGGAACGGGGCAGACGAGACTTCCTGCCCTCTTGGCACTCATATTCCCACACCCTTCACTTTGTCCCGTTAAAGGATGTGGCAACTTCATCATTTTCTGGGTACAGGCAGGTTCCAGCTTTTAAAAAGTTCACTTCAAAGGGTAATATATATACCTACCTTTTTAAATAAAGAATTCAAAATATAGAAAGAGCAGTAATGAAAAGTCTTCCCTTGCCCGGGTGCCCCTCACGAAAAGAAAGAAGACACTGAATATTTTCTTACTTAAGCATCCTTCCATGGTCTTCTTTGTGCAAGCATGAGCATGAGTATAAGCAATCCCCCTTGTCTGTGTACAGGGCACATCCTGTATATGTCCCCTGCAGGTCTGTCCTCTGCTCATGCCCACCCAAGGGAGCAATGTGAGCAAAGCTGTGGACCCAGCCGATCTCACCACGTCCAATCAAATCAAACGTGTGCCATGTGCTCAGCCGTGTCCAACTTTTTGTGACCCTATGGAGGACCCCACCAGGCTCCTCTATCCATGGGATTTCCCAGGCAATCCTGGAATGGGTTGCAATTTCCTTCTCCCGAGGATCTTTCTGACCCAAGGATTGAACACACATCTTTTGCATCACCGGCACTGACAGGCAGATTTTTTTACCACTGAACCACCTGGGAAGCCCTAATGAAAGGGCCTGGGCTTTTTCTCTTTTAAATCTTCCTTTGGGATTTAAACGCAACTTTAGGAGGAGCTAAAGCAAAATTCAAGATTTGATTAACTGAAATGAAACTGAGTTTCTATTATTTCTATTATTTGAAGCACGTTAGCTTGGGTGCATTGGAGGGTCTAGATTTCCCTGTACTTTGACTGCCCCACACACACACACAAGCAGGGCTGCCCAATAAGCAATTAAAAAGAAGCATCAATAAGTGATAAACAATGAGTAATGTTTGTGGTATAAGTATTCATATGCCTGTCATGTATGGATGTGAGAGCTGGACTGTGAAGAAAGCTGAGTGCCGAAAAACTGATGCTTTTGAACTGTGATGTTGAAGACTCTTGAGAGTCCCTTGGACTGCAAGGAGATCCAACCAGTCCATCCTAAAGGAGATCAGTCCTGGGTGTTCATTGGAAGGACTGATGTGGAAGCTGAAACTCCAGTACTTTGGCCACCTCATGCGAAGAGCTGACTCACTGAAAAAGACCCTGACGCTGGGAGGGATTGGGGGAGGGAGGAGAAGGAGACGACAGAGGATGAGATGGCTGGATGACATCACCGACTCGATGGACATGAGTTTGAGTAAACTCCCGGAGTTTGTGATGGACAGGGAGGCCTGGCGTGCTGCGATTCATGGGGTCGAAGAGTCGGACATGACTGAGCGACTGAACTGAACTGACTGACTGATGCCCCAGGCAATACTGGGGATACATTTTGACTAACAAGTTATTGTTAATCTGAAATTCAAATGGAGCCGGGCATCATGTATTTTGCCTGGGAACTGTACCCCCCAGTCACCCTCAAACCTGTATCCTTAGTACCAACATTCCCTCCCGGGGGAGCAGCCAGCACCCCCCCAGCTGGAAATCTCTAAAAATCAGCTCTTTGTTTTAATGTCAGGGTCCTCTTTCCGGTTCCCTCTCACACCCACATCAGTCAAGAGTTCTGATTCTGGCTTCCTGACTGCACTTTCCACAGTCCCAGTCCCACCGTTAAATCCTAATTCCTGATGACCCAGATGACAATACCCACCTAGAGGGAAGTCCGGCCCCCAGCAGCTCCCCCTGCCCACCTACTGCCTGCAGGACAGGACAGAACCTTCTTCCCACAACCCTGCTGGTAAGGTCAGGCCCCCACCCCAAACCCTTCCTAACTGCATTAAAGCTATATCCTAACATGGGAAGGATGAATGGCAATATTTGGTATTTCTACCCTGCAATACGCCATAGCTCTACCCATGAGTGTGTTTCTCCCTCTCATCACTGATAATTTATAACATGTTTAAGCAGTATTCCTAGTTATTTCATATTTCTGGTTTTTAGAAATGAAATCTCATTTTTATGTTTCTAAAAGGGTCTTGCTTTTGACTATCTAGTACCTGACCCCATTAGTGACAGTGATAATTCTAAAACATGGATTCCCAGAACCATTCAGTAGTTTTCCTTCCGGAAAAAAAAAAAAAAAGTTGAATTTTAATCCTGTTTCCTTTTCATGTCTTACTGTTTTCTCCAGAACTTCCAAAACACACAAGTGATGAAGGTATCCTTGTTTTTTTAAAAAGCAATGCCTCTGGTATATCACTTGAGGCATACTGCATTTCTAAAATTGTTGGTCTAAAATTGATCCTCAAACACATACGCTAAGATAAATTCCAGATGGCTGAGATCCTTAAATAGCCATAGAAAAATCAGAAGTACATAACATAGAATGTTTATCAAAAGGTATGAAACAAATAAATCTAAAATTTTCTGTAGGGAGAAGAAGGATTGAGTTTGGAGGAAATATTTGCAGCAAGTATGACAAGAGTTAAAGAATTTAAAGAAACAAGAAAAAACAACATTATGACCAAGGCAGAATGTTTAGACAAACCACATGAACAGAGAATTCCAGGAGCAGTCTTACAACCATTCATAGTGAAAAAGCATAGAAAGATTCAACACTTGACTCCAAACAAACAAATGTTAAAAACAAGATGCTATTTCTATTTGTTCAACATATTAATGAGAGAATATTTAATACTCAGGAAAACATGCATTGTTGGTGTATCTACAACTTGATATCATTTTTGGAAATTTGTCAGTGTGGGCACTAAAAATAATCAAGCCCAATAAAGTTGATCTAAAAACTAAAAAGCAATAAACACTTAAAATTGGGAAGATGAAGTGCTCGGACCTGGTGCACTGGGAAGACCCAGAGGGATCGGGTGGAGAGGGAGGTGGGAGGGAGGATCAGGATGGGGAATACATGTATATCCATGGCTGATTCATGTCAATGTATGACAAAAACCACTACAATATTGTAAAGTAATTAGCCTCCAACTAATAAAAAAAAAAAAAAAGAAAAAAAAATGGGAAGATGATTTATACAGATAGCAAAACTCATCAGATGCTACTTAAAATTTTTACTCAGCCCTGAGAAGAAATTCTGCCATTTGTAGCAACATGGATGGACCATGAGGACATAATGCTGAGTGAAATAAAAAGACAGAAGAAATCAGTGTATGACACCTTTTATATGTAGAATCTAAAAATATCAAAATTGAAAAGCAGAAAATAGTGGTTATGAGGGGCTGAGGGTAGAGGGATGGGAGAGGTGTTGTGTAAGGTACATACTTGTAACCAGTAGATATTTAAGTCCTGGAGACTAGTACATGGTACAAGCAGACATCAGGTATTACGGGTTCAGTTCCAGACCACCACAATAAAGCAAATATTTCAATAAAGCAGGTCACGTGAACTTTTTGGTTTCTCAGTGCATATAAAAGTGATATTTACAGTCTTCTGTGGTCTCTTAATAATACAATATTAAACATAAAATAATATTATGTCTAAAAAACAACATATGGACCTTAATTTTCTTAAAAATTTATTGCTAAAAAATGCTAACCATCATCTGAGCCTTCAGCAACTCTTAATCTGCTGGTGGAAAGTCTGGCCTTTCAGCAGCTGATGGCTGCAGCAATTTCTTAAAATAAGACAACAGTGACTGACATCTGCGCTTGGATTGATTGTTCCTTTCACTTGAACCCTTAGAGGTCACTCCAGGGTTATTCATTGGCCTAATTTCAATGTTGTGTGTCTCAGGGAAGAGGGAGGCCTGGGGAGAGAGAGATGGGCAGAATGGACAGCTGGTGGAGCGGTCAGAACACACACATTTATTGATAAAGTTCATCTTATATGGGCGCAATTCACAGCGCCCCCAAAACAATGACAATAGTAACATCACAGATCATAACAAATATGGTAAAAATGAAACAGTTGGAAATACTGTGAAAATTACCAAAATGCGACGTAGAGACACAAAGTGAGCAAATACTGTTGGAAAAAGGGCACTGATAGACTTGCCCTACACAGGGTTGCCACAGACCTTCAATTTGTAAAGAACACAGTCTCCGCAAAGTACAATACAATGAAATGTACCTATACAGTGATTATACACAACAAAACTGTATTATAAATACTAAAGTCACTAGAGACTAAACCTTAAATGTTCTCAGCACAAGAAGAAATACAATTACATGATGAGATGGAGGTATTAATCAATGCTACTACTGGCAATCATAATTGCCAGTACACAATCAGTAATACAAACGTACCAGATCAATATATTATCAATATATACCCTACACAGGGTTGTATCTCACATATTACTCAATTTTTAAAAATGGGTGCACTTCATTGTACATAATTTATACCTCAAAAAAGTTGATTTAAAAAGCAAGAAACAAAAAAAACAACAAAACAGTCATCTTTGCTTTGACCATGTCATTTCACTCAAGGAATTAAGTGTATGGAAATCAGAGCTGAGGACAATGATTTAAACATAAGAATTTTCAATGCAGCATGATAGTTGGAAAATTGTACAGTATAAAAATGTCTCCCTAGCAATTGGATCATTTAGTGAAATAGTATACAATCATATTAATAAAAACTGTCTCATAGAACATTTTAATGACCAGGAGAAACTCTTACGTTGCTACTTACATGAAAACAGCACGATACAAAACTAGAATTTCCAATTGTTTGTACATGATTTGAAACACATCAACACACTAATGATGGTTATTTCTAGAGGGTGGAATTCCAGATCTTTTTTTAAAAACACATTTTAGCATTTTTCATTTTTTTTTAAGTCATACATATTTAATTACATTATCAAGAAATCAAAGTCTTTTGGAACAGGATATTTTTAATGTACTTATTCATTTACTGTTAAAACAAAGAGTAGTCCTACTGTCAGTGGGAGGCTGGGTGACTCAGGGACCGAGGAAGGGGACCCCCACAAACCCATCCCATTTGTGAGCCTGGGCTGGAGTCACACACTCCAGCATGCTGGCTTCTTAACTTCCTCTCTTCCTCAGTCCAAAGCTAATAATCCCTCTTAAAGACCTTAATATAATAATAATAATCCCTCTTAAAACCACCTTCTGTGGCTTGTCCCCAACCAACTCTCCAGCCCCTCCCCCCAGCCACACAGGCTTTCTTGGACAGAGGAGCCTGGCTGGCTACAGTCCACGGGGTAGCCAAGACATGACTTAGTGACGAAACCACCACCACCAATTCATTTTACCAAGCATTTATCCCGTCCAGCCCCACTCCACTCAGTGACTGGCAGTTTCAGTCTTACGGACTATAAAGCACTTCTTCCCACCCTCCTTTGTCCTTAGTTGACCCTTCATCCCTCAAAACTCAGCTCAAAGATTCACACTCCTGGGAAGCCTCCCTGCCCCGCCTCCTCACCCCACCTCTCCCAAACAATCACATCCTTCTAGCACAATTGCCTGGTGTCTCAGACTGTTAAGAATCTGTCAGGTTTGATCCCTGGGTCAGGAGGATCCCCTGGAGAAGGAAATGGCTACCCACTCCAGTGTTCTTGCCTGCAGAATTCCATGGATAGAGGAGCCTGGCGGGCTACAGTCCCTGGGGTCGCAAAGAGTAGACGACCATTGAGCAACTCACACTTTCACATAGCAGAATTGCCAGAGAACATCTTTATTTTGTAGTTCTTGTCACCAGTTCTAATCATGGGCCTGTGGGATTACTTCACTCATCTCCATCTCTCCTGCTGGACCGTAAACTCCCAGGATTTGCATTCATCCCCCTACGTGTGTTCCATGCTCCTTGTATAGTGTCTGGACACAATATTTGTTGAATGAATGAATGTTTCCTCATCTGGAAAATCAGAGGAGCCCACCTAATTTCAATCCACAAGGTTTAAAAGCCCCTGTTCTGGACTCCTCCACTGTCTCCAAGACTGCCAGCCTGAAAAGTCCCAAGAAAATTTGGACCATATCACCTTTATTAACATATTAACAGTTTGATTATCTTTCAATTCCCCCAAGACTCACAAGGAGTTTCTTGGCTCTAGGGATTTGAAGCAGAAGAGAAATAGGAAATCCTGGTGAGTCACAGATTACTAATTCAGAACTTTTCAATTACTCGTGCCTCTCCATGGCTGCAGTAACTGGATGAGAATGCAAAGACCAAGAGAAAAGGTACACAGAACTTACCTCCCTCCTTCCTCTTGGTCTCTGCAGGTGAGGAGATATTAATATACTTAACTCATTTTATCATCACAACATCCCTGTAATAAGGTAAGTACTGCTAGAGTCCCATTTTACAGATGAGGAAAGCTGAGGCACAATTGAGTTTTTAGTAATTTGCTCAAGGTCACAGAGGTGGTATCCTTAACCACCATAGGACACTGCCTCTCACATTTAAAAAGTGAATGCTGCCAAAAGAGCTATTACTGACACCCATTTGCCTCCCTGACACCTGTAGAACAGTGCTTCCCCGGTGGAAGCAGGAGAGAGGAAGGTGAGGGTTGGCACCCTTGTGGGTCACATGGCAAGGATTGCTTTCTCGGGCTGAAACTCAAGAGTGGTGATGCTTGTGGAATGAACACTGACAAGTTCCCCCTCCCCCAAGAACAACAATCCCTAGTCTTCAGGGAGCTTCAGCTCTCTGCCCAGAACTGTGGGGTTGTTTTTGTTTTTTTTTAAGCAGGAAGCCAGCCATGTGCGTCAATTATCAGGACTCTTTTATCCAACTGGGACCCCAAACAAATGCTGGGTTTTAATCCTGGATGAAATGATACACAAAATTCCAAAGCCTCTTGACCCTGCAGCATCCCCAGTAAGTAGATGATGAGCCCAGAGAAAAAGGATACAAACCCAGGCTAACGCATCCTAGGGGATTTGAGTCACACTAAACAAAAGGATGCCATCTCTTATGTAGTAGATCCAGTCCGTCTCCCTGGCCCTCAGTGCAGTACCTGGCACACAGGTTCTCAGCCTGCGTTGGGCTTAGACTGAAATCCAAACTCCTTACACTGTCTCTGAAACCTTACATGATCTGGTCAACTTCATCTCCACCCCACTCTACTCTCCTGGGCACCAGCCACCCTAGTTTTCTTTCATGCCTCCAACTCTCAGCTCCTTTAGGCCTCTGGTGTTGATAGTTGCTGTTCGCTCTCCCTTGATTATTCCTAGATCTTGACCTGGCTTCGTCCTTCTCGTCATTCACCTCCTTCCTCCCAGGCCCTGGCCTTGAAAGTCTGACTCCCCGCACCACACTGGAAACCAGACTGGAAACTCCGTGCCTGGCGTTAGAACCAACCCTCCGAGGCTTCACCTAGTGTTTGCTGAACACAGAAATGCTGTATACACTCAAACCTACCAGCTCCCGGCGCTCCCCCCCCGCTCAGGCGCTAACACACTAGTCAGCTCAAAACAAAAGCGATAATCCCAGGCTGAACTGGTAACTGTCATCTGGAGAAGTCCCCAAGAAGTCCCCATCCTGATGGAGCACCCACTTGTCCAGAAGGGGAACGCGAAGGGCCGGAGCGCGGCTGCCGCCGAGCGGCGAGGACTGGAGGCCGCCGGGCGCTGCCTACCTTGAACTCGGCGGAAAGTTGGGGCGTGTATTCGCGCGTCCAGAGCGCGCGCACCAGCGCCGCCAGCTGCTCGGTGACCTCGGCGCGGCCGGGCACCGCCCGGTAGCGCCCCAGCGCCAGGAACTCGGCCAGCAGGTCGGTGTTGCTCAGACACTGCACCACGGCGTTCATGAAACAGGTGTTGCCGTGGTTCTTCAAGCCCTGCGCTCCCGGGGGCCGCGCCCCGTCGCCGGCGGGGAGTCCGGGCCGGCGTTCCTCCCCGGGGCTTCCGGGCGCGGCTGGATCGGGGCCCTCAAAGCCCCCCTCCCCGTCGCCATCGCCGTGTCCTGATTGGGGCTGGGGTCGGGGCCGAGGCGGCGAGTCCCCGGGGCGGGAGCGACTGCCCAGCGCCAGCAGGAAGCGGCCGAACAGGCGGCGCAGGGAGCGGCGGCGGCGGGGCCGGGGCGCGGGCGGCCCCTCTCCGGCCGCGGCCCCCGCGCCTGGGTCCATGGCTCCTGCCGGCGCCCCTCCCGGAACCAAGCCTCCACCCCCCGGGGGCCCCAGGCGGACGAGCCGCCGGCAGGCCCTTCCAGACTCGGAAAGGTGCCCAGGCGCCGGCTACCTGCGGGCCAGGTGTGCCGGGACCGGGCGGAGGCGGAGCTAAGGGCGGGGCCGCCCCGCCCCGCACGGGAATCCGGCTGCAGAGACCGCCCCGGGCAGCGCCCCACCGCCCGCACCCGCCTCCGGGTCCCGCCCCCGCCGCTCGGACCGGGAATCAAAGCACTGGGGCTTGGCTTTCAGCTTCCCTCCCCTTTCCTTATCTGTCCTAAACCTACCGGCCCAAATTTAACCTCTGCTCTTGGTCCTCTCCCTGCCTTCAAGCCTTGAAAATAATAGAGGAATGATAAATATGAACGCCCTCGTAAATTGCAAAGCCCTGGCTCTTGCTAAGTTTCTTGGAATGACGTCCGGGCGAAGGTGAAGGTGAAGCCTTCCCAAAAGGGTAGCCGCGGGCGTAGCGAGAGACGCGCACGGAGAGCGGCGACGGGGTGGGGAGCGCTCTGGGACCGCTGGCTCCTACGCAGGCTCAGGTGTGTGCGGACGAGTAGCACCCCCTCCTTTCCAGCCCGTCTGCGCCGCCGGGGAGGCAGAGTCTTTGCGGGACCCGCCATCCCGGGACCAGAACTGGGAGGCGTGTGTAGAAACACCCGGGGTGGCCGTGGTTTGCTTGTTTAAATTACAGACCAGGTTAGAGATGATCAAAACTTGCCAGCGAGACCTTATCATCCTCAGTTTAGGTTGGTGAAGAAACGCGCTCAGAGAGGTTAACGCCATGGGCGGAGGCCACAGACCCGTAAACAGAGAGACCGGAACTGAAGCCGGGTTCTGCCAACCCCGCAGCTTAGCTCTTTTCCAACCTCAGTATTTGCTTACGAGTAAGTTTTCCGGCTCCCTGGCGCGCCCCCTACGCGGTCGCACTTTCACTCCTTAAAGCAAAATCCTAACTGGATTGCTACCCAATAAAAATTGACTTGGCATAGCCTCGCCCTGGATTCGCTGGGGGACTCCGCTCACCTGTCCTGTAACTGTCAGGTTTATAATTAATCTGGTGAAGTCTTGCAAAGTGAATTTCTCATCCATTTCTAGCTCAACAAGAGATCAGCAGGATGCGTTATTACATCAGTGCCCTGAAATGTTATTTATTGTTTGATGAATATGTGGTCATCATTTATTAAATATCCACCTTGACATATCAAATAGGGCAGCAGCAGGTTACCTGATAAAAGCAAAAAAAAAAAAAAGCAGCAGCAGCATTAAAGGACAAAGAATATCCCCAGAACAAAAGACTGTTCTGTGAATTAGAAACTTGATGTGTTTCTGAAAAAATGCCTTCGTCTACCGTCCCTGGAAAAGGATACTGGGTTGGACCGTCAATAAACAAGTTCCATCACCTTTCTAATAGTAAGCAGAGGAGAAAGATTTTATGCTCAATTCCAGAAAAACGCCTATCAAATTTCACCTTTGGTAATCACCCTCAAGGTTCCCAACTCACGTTTTTATTTTCAAAAGCACAATTCATATTTAACTTTCTGTTCTGTGTCATGAATTCTGTTGATGCTTTATTATTTCACTCAATTATAACAATAATTTTGGGGGCAGATATTCTTGCTTTGGGGTTTTCCCTGGTGCCTCAGATGGTAAAAAATCCCCTTGCGATACAGGAGACGTGGGTTTGATCCCTGGGTTGGGAAGATCCCCTGGAGAAGTGAATGGCTACCCACCCCAGTGTTCTTACAGAAAGTTAAAACAAAACAAAAACCCTACCCAAGATCTGGACTCAAACCCACGTCTTGCCCCAGGCAGCTTGACCAATAAAATGCTGATTAAGAAGGTAAAGTCATATGTATACCTATGGCTGATTCATGTTGACATATGGCAGAAATCAACAAAATATTGGAAAGCAATTATCCTTCAATTAAAAATAAATAATTTTTTTTTAAAAAGAAAGTAAACTCACCTTTCTTTTTAGAGAATAACAGTAATGATTATCTGTGGACAAATCGTGAGGAAGGGTTCTGCAGACTCGTGGAAGAGAGATAAGGATAGGAAACCAACGACTGGGAATTTACTCATAATAAAAAAAACAGTCTAGACTAATTATTCTTGAACACATCTCAATTTTAATATACAATTCAAGAATGTGCAATGCATCCTATAAAGAAAAGGAGAAACATGTAGATAAAATACTTTGGTCAAAGAACAAAAACACAGATGTGAGAAAGCAAGATTAGTCTAGGAGTCTCAGGCTTCTTCAACAAGATGGTAATCGATGCTGTGAATCCAGGAGATCTCTGCTGCTTCATGAGGGAAATGGGTATTTCCACCTCAAAATGGCCCCATCAGCACTCACGCTAACGATATACTGATTTCCTGGACTTATCCGGATGCGGGTAATGTTGCCACTGTGTCCCACCCCAACATGGGTCACTTCACCCTCATTGTAATCCCAAACCTTGACTAGATGGTCATTTCCACCTGAAAAAGACAAACACTTATATGGCATGGCTGCAACAGGAGAAAGACAAAATAGTCCTGACTTAAAAAAACGATCATTTTCAATACATTCCCCATGTGATGATTTAAAGGAAGAAAAACCTATCTTTATAAACACTCTTCCTTGACTGGGAAAAAATCTAGACCTGTTGCAGTAAATTTAGGGGAAAAAAAGTAAAGACATTACCCTTGATCCCACCATCCAGAGATAACAATTCTTGGTTTAGTACCTTCTGGTCTTTTCTCAATAAGTTACACAGATACACAGCTGAGTATGTGATTGGGATCATACTGTGTCTAATTTTATATCCTGCTTTACATAAATGTATTTGTGAAACTTTCATTGATTTAGAACATTAATTGGTTACTGTCTTGAAGACTCAAAGAGGCTGCAAGAAATAAGACTGATGCTGTTGCAATGGGCACATTGTGTGGCAAACGCCCCCTGGACATGCTGATTGAAAAGCCTGGTGGCATTGAAGACTTCAGTAGGAAACAGCACAGCAAGGCAGCTAGATAGCCCAGTCTATGTAAAGGCCTATTTCTCTCTTTTTTTAAATTGAAGTAGGGCTTCCCAGGTAGCGCTAGTGATAAAGAACCTGCCTGCCAATGCAGGAGACCTAAGAGACAAGGGTTTGATCCCTGGGTTGGGAAGATTCCCTGCAGGAGGGAATGGCAACCCACTCCAGTATTCTTTTCTGGAGAATCCTATGGACAGAGGAGCCTGGCGGGCTACGGCCCATGGGGTTGCAAAGAGTCAGACATGACTGAAGTGACTTAGCACATATCGTTGCTGCCCATCACAAAGAAAAAGCAAACAGTGGAAGCTTAGTTTTTATTTGTGCCCCTCAAGTTCATGGGTACATGTGTCTTCTCGTTGCAATGTGACTTCTGAATTTTTCTTTCCTAACCACACGGGCTGCAGTGTGGCCTGAATCTAACCACGTTGCCCCTTAGACCCTTCTGGGGTCACTTCCAGTTGCCCCCCAGCCAGGGAGTTCCAGGTTTCCATTAAATAAGCTAAGCCTGGCTTTCTTCTCTGATCCCAGGACTGACCTGTGACAAAGTGCACCCCTTCCACTGTGATGTCCATGCCGTTGACAGCCCCGGACAAGGAACCGTCCAACTCTCTGATGACTGAGCCGTCGAACACTTCCCAGTAAGCAATCTGGAATTGGAGCACAAAGCATGGGGCAGGATTCAGCTCAGTGGAATCATCCAAGCACACGCCAACAAAAGAAGGTTCTACTTTATATAGCAGGCAGCAGAAATATACCCAGGGATGATGTATCGGCTGACATTATAAATAGGCTAAGGCAGGGGGTGGAGAAATCATTTTAATATTTTTAGGAGTGGCTTTTACATTTGCATTCTATTTAAAGAGATGTTGATATGCTGGTAAACCGGATTGAGACAGAGAGCGCTTTTTGGTTAGAAAGAGCAGATTGAGCCTGGAGGAAGCTGTAACGGGAAGAAGCCGGCCAGTGCATCCACTTTCCCAATTCTGCACTTACAGGGGGAGAGCAAAGCTTTCTTTAGGCTTGGCAGGAGGGGAAATGAAATTTCTTGAGGGCCTTCAACTTGGAGAATGAGCGGTTCTGCAAAATTGTGGAGATGGGGCCTTATAAAGTCAGCTCTCACTGTGGCTGGCCCTCCTTCTTCCTCACCCCACACTTATCCCCACCTTCTCTTCAGACTCAAAGCAACAGAAGACTTTGCAGGGACGGGTTTAAACAGAAACTGATTATATTACACCCCCGCCACCTTCCTGGGCCATGAAACTAGGTTAGGGGTGGAAAGGAGACAGGAGCTCAAAGAGGGATGGCTTTTCTCTGAATATACTGCTTTTATACTTTTTTGAACTTTGAACCTTGTCAATGTACAACCTGTTCAAAAATAAAATTTCTTGCTAAACAAAAGAGCCCTTGACTGGAAATTGGGAGTGGGAACTTAGATATGTATTACACCCGGAACTTTTTCTGCCTTTCGTGTTGGAAACTTGCTGTATTTCAGTCATGAACACCAGGAATCTGTGTCCCTCTGAATTTAGCAGAAATTGTGTATGCTATTTTAAACCTTTTTCTTTTCTTTTTTTGTAATTTCTATTGATGCTGGATCACTTTAACAATAAATTTCTGTTTTCAGACTAAAAGCATAAAGAAGTGTAAAAGCCTGCTGAGGGGACTTCCCTGGTAGTCGGTCCAGTGGTTAAGACTCTGTGCTTCCACTGCAGGGGGCACAGGTTCAATCCCTGGTTGGAGAACTAAGATCCCACATGCCAAATAGTGAGAACAAAAAAGCAGGGGGACGAGGGGGAGGCATGCCAAAAATCTCTGTTTCTCAGGAATCACATCTATGTAAGTCCTTGGTGCTTGACTACCAGTTTCCTTGACCAAGGAAGTCAAAGTGATCTTCAGCTGGGCTTTCCTGAGGGTCCTCTGCCAGAAGTGGTCTTC